TTTTTTATCCATTTTGAGTTTATTTGATCAATGACTTTGAAAAATCATCCCCATGAGGGCAGCAGAGAGCAGTTATAAAGAACACCCTAAACCCAGGTGGTGTGGCTCAGAGGATTGAGCATTCTCCCATGGACTGCGAGGTCCCAGTTCCATTCCCGGTCAGGGCACATGCAGGGGTTTTAGGCTTGATCCCTAGTAGGGGGTGTGCAGGAGGCAGCCCACTGATGTTTCTTACATCGATGCTTCTATCTCTCTCTGTAAAAAATCAATTAAAAAAATTGTTGGTCAGGGAGCATTTTAGACAGCAGATCATGTTTTCAGTGACTGACTGTGGCCCCTACTATTCTACTCAGAAATTAGGAGCCAACATGAAGCCTGGGTGAAAATGAGTAACTGGGGCAGCTTGGCGTTAAGGGGGGACCAAGAACTAGAGAGGACAGTCAAGAAAACAAGTCACTGTAGGATCAAGTTCAACAATAAAGCTCAGGCAGGGACACAGGACTCTGGGCATGGGAGAGTTAAGAGGATACTTTTGACAACAGGTTGCTAAAAGGGTGTGGACTGTTTTAAGGGAATGTCTGGTTTGAAAAGACCTCAATTCCGGCCGCGTTGCAGAACAGCATGGACTGGAGCACTCAGCAGCCTGAGTGGAGATCTGCTGCACTTTGAGCTCTCACCTCCATCCACTCAAGAAAACATCTACTAGGGACATGGTACCATCTGAAGGGGGGAAATGATCCAGATAGAAAAAACTGATAAGAACAGATATTACACTTGATCTTAGCCAAAAGACTGATAAGCAATAGAAAGAAAAAAATATTTAATAGGGACATAGTACCATCTAAAGGGCAGACAATGGTCCAGAAAGAAAAAATAGGACCAATAAGCAGAAGTTACAAAGAGGTAGATTTTTCTAAGTACAGAAAAAGGACTTTCAGCCCTGGCTGGTTTTTCTCAGTGGTTAGAACATTGGCCTGCAGACCAATGAGTCGTGGGTTCAATTCCAGTCAAGGGCCTATAACCTTGGTTGCGATTTGTCTCTGGCCCTGGTTGGGGTGTGCGGGAGGCAGCCACTCGATGTGTCCCTTTCACGTCAATGTTTCTCTCTCTCTCTCTCCCTCCCACTCTATCTGAACAGAAAAGGAAAAATGTGCTTGGGTGAGGATAAAAAACAGAAAAAGGACTTTCAAATCACTGAGAACTACACTGAGTTGAGCACTGTATCATAGGACATAGTGGACATAGGAGATGTGAAAAGTAGCCAAAGGGTGTCAGCTTCAAGAGTCTAGTGAAGGAAGAGAAAATTGTGGAAATAGAGTTTAGAGAAGCAGGAGAAGGATGTCAATCAGGGCCAAGGTGAAGGGCCAGTCTTTGAAAGCTGGAGGGATGTTTTCTCAGCTGAGGCTTGGAGGAAGAGAGCCGAGAACTGATGTAAAGGAAGGGAAAACTCAAGTTCCCAGTTGAAGGAGAGGGTGGGAAAAATAAGGGCAAGAGATGAAATTTTTGTTTTAACTATAGAGATGATGTACAGTTTAAGCCAAGAGTGCACAGCTCTTTAGCTATGGTTAACAAAAAAATGTTACTGTTTGAAAGTTTTCCCCAGTGATGGGCACAGGAATGCCATCTCTACACAGGTGTCCTTAGCTTAGTAGTATTGACTCCAGTATCACCTCTAGAAATTTGCTCAGCTCTACGGACATTATGACCTCTTCAGCACCTGCTAAATCTGAAATGCTGAAAGAGTGAACTTTCAGCACCCCCATCCCACCCCTACAAATGCAGCCACGAATGGACTGACTAGCTTAGAAACACACAACTATCCTACTGTCTAGACAAATGGAGTTGGGTTAGGATTGTAGGAGAGGTAGGCATATGGAAAGGAGTTACTACTATGATGCCAAGACTACTTAGGTGTCAGACCACCCCAGGATATGGGTGACAGGATATGAATCTAGCTTAACTACTGCCTGTGCCTGCCCTTTTTGTGGGCTTATGTAGGTGGGAAATATCCCCTTTCCATGCATCACAGCTACTTCTGTCCTAGTGACTCTCCCTGTAGGAAGAACCAGGGAGCAATCTGTGAAGAAAACGAGGATATAGGGGTTATTCACAAAGGAAGAGTTCCAGTGGGTATTGTGGGAAAAATGGGTGTGGTAGAAGTTTTTGGCTTTTTTCTAACCAACATCTCTTCCCTTTGTCCCAAAGTAGGAATGGATGGCAGGTGTCACCCTCCTCCTTGCTGTCCACTGCTCTCAGACAAGGGGTTGTCCATCTTCATCCAAAAGTGCTTCCCTCTTTGAAGCTCAAGCCATTTGCTCTACTACCCTTTAGCTCTCATGCTTACAGAGCACCTATTAAATAACGTCTGTGACTCACTCTTCCTATCATTGTGTGTTTCTAGGAAAATCCATGATCCCTAGTTAGTTTTTGACCTTCTCAACTCCAATTTATAATTCCTTAACTTCAGCATTTCCAGCAACACAGGTGTTTATTTTTTATGGCAGCCTCTGGGATGAGAGGGTATCATTCTTGAGTGTGGAAACATTGGTGGTGCCTAAGCTGGCGAGTTTCAACTTCCACACCCACTGAAACACGGACTGGCCGTACGACCCACCATGGTAGAACAGCATGGCTGTAGGATCCATCAGACCTTCTTGCCAAGCTTCCAGAAAACCTGGGTCAGGAGCCAAAAGCCCCTTTCCTGTAAGCTACCTCTGGGGACATCTGGCACGTTTTTAACTTCCATCCTCTTGAAACACTCCCTTCTTTTTGATTCTGTGCCAGTCGTCAACCAGTTTTTCTTTCTCACTGGCTGTTCCTTTTTAAAAAAATTTAAATGTTTTTATTGATTTTTTTAGAGAGAGGAGAGAGACATCTATGTGAGAAACATGGATCGGCTACCTCCTGCACGCCCCCTACTGGGGATCGAGCCAGCAACCCGGGCATGTGCCCTGATGGGGAATCAAACTGGGACCTCTAGGTCCATGGAGGATGCTCAATCCACTGAGCCACACCAGCTAGGCCTGGCTATTCCTTCTCAAAGATCCTCCAAGGCCTCCTTGTCTATTTGTGTCTTAAATGATGAGCACTCTTCTTAGCCCTCTGCTGTTCCCTGGGGAACTTATCCAAATCCATGGCTTCAACAAGCCTTTAAATGTTCATGATTCAATTTCTGGCCTATACATCACTAGAGTATTTTTTTAAAAAGTAGTTTTCTATAAGAGGCACATATATACACAGTAAAACAAATTCAAACAGTAAAGACAGCTCTAAAAAGTACATTTCATCCCTCCCAGGCCCACATTTCATGGTGAATTTTTATTTATTTATTTTTAACCCTTACCTAAGGATATTTTCCTATTTATCTTCAGATAGAGTGGGAGAGAGGGAGAGAGAGGGTGAGAGAACCATCAATGTGAGAGGGATATAGACTGGTTGCCTCCCTCATGACCCCGACCAGGGCTGGGTACCAACTGCAACCTAGGTACGTGCCCTTGGTCCGAATCAAACCCGGGACTCATTGGTCCGTGGGTCGATGCTCTAACCCGACAGGGCTCATGTGAATTTTCTAATGCCTGTGTAAATGTGCCATATGGATAATCCTGCACTTTCTCTTTCCCACTTAATATACTGTTCTCCTAGGTTAGATCTGTATTTTCAACTCCCATTAGGACATCCCATCTGGCTGTCCCATAGCCCCCCAAACTCCTCTTTCTTTGGAACTGTCCCTCGTGCTCCATCCTATTGCTGTTCTCTTTTTACAGTCACCACCATACAAAATTGTCTTTATTTTCTATACAGGGTGGGGCAAAAGTAGGCTTACAGTTGTGAGCACCCAAAACACAGAGTGTAGTCTTGTACTATTATTTATTAGTTACGGCATTATATTTATTTTGGTATTATTTTTCATACAAACAACTGTAAACCTACTTTTGCCCCACCCTGTACATCGTGCCTTTCCATTGACTGGTTTCCAACCCACCATGTCTCTGAAACATAGTTCTTCAAAATTACTATGGGTTCCCTGTTGCAAAACCCAGTGGACATATTTTAGTCGAATCTTACCTGATCTGTTACGTTCAACCCTCCGCCCAGCTTCCTTCCCCATCGCACCCTGCAGCGCAGCCGTCCTCGCGAGGCCACCCGTGCCCGCCGCGGCCCCCACGCCCTGTCTGTCACACGCACAGCCAGCGCCAAGCCTCGTGCGGGTGCCGTCCTCCAGAACCAGCACTGCCCAAGCGGTACACGGGCAGGATCCTGAATCCTCCCTCTGCCGCACACCCGTCCCCAGTCCCGTCCCCAAGGCACGAGTGGGCTTCCTGAGTGCAACAGTGCTCGCGCCTCCGCTAAGGCTCTCCAGAGCCCAGGCCGGTGTCGCCGGTCCCCCGCCCCGCTTCCCTACAGCTCCGGACTCGGCTCGGGCACTTCCTTCGGAAGCAGGTGCTCAGAACGGCCAATGCTCACGGCGAAACCGTGGGCACTCGAGGCGCGGCCGGGGCTGCGGCCCAGGTTCCCCGACGTCCGGGTCAACAGGAAGCTGCGAGCAAAGGTCAAACCCAGATCACGACCCTTGGCCCCGTTCGCGACAGCCCGACGCGTCCTATTCCGCCCTCATGCGTCATGGCCGCCGGCCCGTCTTCCCGAGGGCCTTGGAGGGCACGGCCGCCGGCCCGGCGCCACCGGGGTGCCCGCACCCGCGAACGCGGCGCTCGGCCCTCCCGTGGCCGCCCCTCGGCCGCGTCCGTCGGGAAGCGCGCTCGCCGCCGGGCTGCCCGAAAGCAAGATGGCCGCCCGCCCCTCGGCCGCCCGTGCACTGCGCCCGCGCCCGCGCCGCCGCCAGGCCGCCCTCACCTGGCATGGCTCCGCCGCTCATGCCCAGCCGTGGTCCTGACGCCGCCGCGAGCCGGCCAGCCGCCGGCCAGGTTCCGGGCGCCGCTCAGGACGCGGCCTCTCCCCGCCCCGCCCGCCGCGCCCTCCGCTCCCCTCCCCTCCCCCTGCCCCACGCCCGCGGCGGCGGCGGCGGCGGCAGAGCCCGGATGCGGCGCCCGGAGACGGCGGGGGGAGCGGCGCGGATGGATCCAACATGGCGGCGCCGAGCCTGCGCCCGGGGTGAGGCGGCGGGGCGGCCGGAGTGGGGAGGGGGCTCGAGCGGGGCGGGGCGCGGCCGGGCGGGGCCGCGAAGGGCTGCGGAAGGAAAGTGAGGGGCGGCGGTGGCGCCGTCCAGCCCGGGGGCCTCGGGGAGGGAGGTGACGGCCGCGGCCAGGTGGGGGAGGGGCGCGGCCGCCGGGCGTGCGGGAGGCCGGGCGGGGCGGGGGCGGGGGCGAGGCGTCAGCGGGGCCGGCGGGCGGGACGCGTGGGGCCGGGCGGAGCGGGCTGCGGTCCCGCCGGGCCGCGGGGTGGGGGCGGAGGCGGAGGCGGAGGCGGAGGGGCCGGGGTGCGAAGGAAGGGCTGTGGCGTGCGGTCGGAAGGAGGGCGGGATTCCTGGGAGGGGTGTTGAGACGTGGGAAAGGAGACTCGGACTTACGACGCCCGCGGAGGGCTCGAAAGTGTTAAATTGGAGGTGGGAGGGGGAAGGGCCTAGGCCGAATTTGGGTGGAATAGGAGAGAGCGGAGGTTTGGGGAGTGGAGAGCCTGTCGGTGTGACGAGGTAATGGAGAAAGTTTGGGAGGGAGGGGAGTGGGCTGGGAGACAGGACAGTGGAACTGCGCGGTCATAAAGGTTTGGGGGTTACCTTTCCCCCGTGGAAAGGAAGACAGGGCAGAGTTAAGCAGCGTCAGTTGCAGCCGATTCTAATTGCCAGGCCTTCGGCTTTTAATAAAGTGGAAGAGCATGAGGGAATGGTCAGGTGGGTTTGGAGAACTGGAGTTGGCTGAGGGTTCAACTTGATTTGGTCTCAGAGGCCCCCTATCGTACTCTCTCTCGTTTTTCCTGGTTATGAAAAGAAGGGGAAATGGGGAAGCTGGTGTCACGGGAGACTAGTAGGAGTAAAGGAGTTTGCTAGTTTTTAGCAGCGCGAGAATAGGGAAATCGTGCAGTGCTGGAGCCCTACGTGCTACCGTGGAGGCTCTGGAAGGCAGAGAAACCAGAAAACACAGGATGGCATCCAGAAAGCCGGGCTTACTAAATGACTGCTTGGAAATGGACTCCCCCACCCCCCTTGTTTTTGTTTTGTTGCTGGCTTCGAACCTTCTCTTAGGAAGACCTTTCTTTGGCTGTTTGGGTGCTAGGAGGGAGGGTCAGTGTTTATATATAGAAAGTGTCCCTGGTGAAACGTAGATGTCTGAGTGCTGCCCCAGTGGATACTTTGCTCTGACTGTGTGCTAGGTAAGGAAGGGCTGAGATAGAATTTGGAGGGTAGTTCTGGTCTGATGAGTGCAGCGATGGATGGAAAATACCTGTTTTGACTGTTACACTTTCCCCAGGTCTCCCTAAAGATGAAGTTAACATTAATATTGTAACAAAATTAGGTGGGTCTCATAAGGAATTGAGTATTCCGGTGAGAATGTGTCAGAAAATAATTGGTTTTACCCTGCTGGTGTGGCTCAGTGGTTGAGTAGGCCCATGCACCAAGAGGTCCCCGGTTCGATTCCCAGTCAGGGCACATGGCCAGGTTGTGGGCCAAATCCCCAGTGGGGCACATGCAGGAGGCAGCCAGTCGATGTTCTCTCTCATTGATGTTTCTCTCTCTCCCTCTCCCTCCCCCTCTCTAACATTAATGAAGAAAGAAAAGAAATTTCAAAATTTCTAATAGTCACATTAAAAAAATTGGTTTTCCTACAAGTTGTTGAATTTGGGACCTTTCTTGCCATAAGCCATTGAGTCTGGAAGTTTTTGGAGTTGTTATTTGTGTGAATTGGCTAGTGGAGAGTTAGGGAAGTCTGATTACTTCATCGAGGGTGGGAATCATTTCCATCAAAATGGCTTTAGACTTGTCTATGTATTTTTGCAACTAAGGTTAACTAACATGTTGGGTCTTTGAGGTTTCAAAATAAAGCTTGAAAATTGACTTTTCCCCCCTTACTTGTTTTTGTTTTGTTGCTGGCTTCGAACCTTCTCCTAGGAAGAGACCTGGGAAAATAAGTTTCTGGCAGAGGTAAGTCTGGAACTTTTTATTGTTTTCAAACAATGGAAGGGAATGGAGATGTCATGAGAAATGTGTTGGGGTTGAGCTCAGTAAGGGGGTAGATGGCAGGTAACAGGAGTTGTCACCTACCAAGCTGAGTGCATGTCATCTGTTGTCATAACTGCATATGAACAGGAGGGAAAGGAGAGCTGAAATTAGGTTGTTAGGTTAAGTGCCCAGCCTTGTTTTGGTCTTATCTAGTCTTCTTGGTTAGCTGAGAGAAACGTTTTTAACCTGTGGAACATTGCACTAAGTACAGTGTCTACTAAATGTTGCCCTTGGAAGGTTGCTGAGGCACCTTCCATGTTTACTCTTTCTTCTAATTGTTCAGGGCATCACTTTGTTGGTTCTTCCTCGTAATTTTGTTCCCTGCGGGCTTCTGAGAGAGTCAAATACCTCTAGTTTTGTGAAAATATGGATATAATCCCTTGTTGGGATGAGGCTCGACTGTGCTTGAAAGTGGAAACTTAACAGAGAACAACCAACCAAGAGGAAATACAGTACATACGTATGGGCTGTCTGTTGGCCTCGGCTGGCTTGGACCTCCCTAAAGAGAACAAACTACAGCTCCAAGAAATGCAGCAATTCATCAGAATAAAGTATTGGGAAAACTGTAGGGGGACTCTTATGTTAGGATCTCAAACAGACTCAAACCAGCCAGCAGGATCAAGGCTTGTGTTTACTGGAATGTTTGTCTTGTGGTGTCTGGCTTTATTTCAGGAACCAAGACTCAGGAGTTCTTGCTTACCTCCTGTTCAGAGGGGATGCATTCTCTTCTCTACTCCGCTACCTTCATCTAGGTTCTCTAATTCAAGCTGAGTTCATTTGCTTCATTGCCACAGAAGGCTGAGCGTATTTTGGTTTAAGAGGAAGTTTGCCATGTTCTTTTAATGTTGAAGTTAGATTATTGGAACTCCCATCTTGATTGCTGAGTGAGTGAACTCACCATCCTAGATGATGATCAATTAGGGAGGACTGCCTATTACCTAGCCTCCTGATATTTATCCCAAAGACATGGCCTTGGGAAACTTAGGCCCCTTCTCCATTTTGCTTCATCGAATAAGTCTGATCAGCAGCCGAATAAGAAGGCTTGGCTACTGGTCTAGTTTTAGGACTTTAAAGATGGCTATGAGGGTTAAGTGCGGGATCCTTTCCTTGTGTCTGTCTTGCACAGGATGGCATTTCTCTTATCTTCACAGAGGTCCAGATTGAACTAGGTCAAATTAGACCTCCCTGGATGGGGCAGAGGGAGTGTAGCCCTACCACCTGCTGTTCACCTGAATGGCAACAGCAGGTGGTAGAGACCGAGGTTGGAGTGGGATAGAACTCCTGAGTGCCAGTTGGACTTAGTAGTTAAATGAGTCTGTGTCTGACTGGGTTTTCTTTTCTCCTGGAATACTGTTTGATGGGTTTGGGTCAGAGGGACCAAGTGGCTTTCTTCTGCCGACCTAGGGTGGAAAGTGACATACTGTCTCTATTCTGTTAGACCCTTTATCATGCTCCATACAGAGAGGGGTCTCATTCTCAGCACTATCGACATTTTGGGCGGGATAATTATTTGTTGTGGGGGACTGTCCTGTGCACTGTAGGTGCTTAGCAGCATCCATGACTTCTGTTCACTCCCTTATCCTACCATATGACTATCTAAAATGTCTCCATGCATTTCTGAATGTTTTCATGGGAGTCGAATTGCCCCTGGTTTAGAACCACTACCTTGAAGCTCTGATAATTTCAGGCACCTTAAATGATCTGGCCTGGGAACCTAGAACTGAAAAGTGCCTGTTTTTCCCCTCACCTGTGGGTAGTTAATCCTCAGAGACTTGAGGCCTATTAGAGAATTGTATCCATTGATGAATAATTAGGACCACAGTGTTTTCCTGTATTCTGCCTCATTTTCCAGTGGCCTGTCATGTGGGGCAATACTCCTTCATTTCTTGGGGTTTAAGTCAGAACACTTAGAATTAGGGAGCTTTGGAGCAACCTGGCCTTCTGATTGGTTGAGTGTGAAACCTGTCCATCTGTTTCTGGGATCCTCATAATCCAACAGGTGGCCAAAGGGAACAGGTGGGTTAGGGAACAAGAAGTTGTAGGGGCTCTGAGGCTGGGTTTTCCCTTGTTGCCTGGAATAAGCAAGAAGTTACTTTCCTCGGGCTCCTCCTGCACCTGGAGACTACATTAGGTGAAATGAGAGGGAGAGACACGAAAAGTCCTGTCTGTAGCTGAGCAGCTGTTTTCCCAGCTGTTTCCATGCTTTGGGTGGGGTATCTCCTAAGTAGATATGGGCTGTATTTCCTGTCCACATTTCAGACCCCATGGTATGGGGCTAAGTGATTCCAGGGTGGAAAACTCTGTTTTCTTAAGTGAGTGAGTCTCTGTGCTTCTATTTTAGGGTTACTGAGGTGGAGAGGACCAGGTTCTGCTTGCTCCTCAGTTGTCTGGGACCCATCAGCTTGGCTGTTCTGAAGTTGTTTATTTTATTCTCTCAACCTAGACTCAGTTTCTTGGTATGAAATGGACAGAACCGTCTATTGTTGTGGAGCAGGGTGCTGTGGATTGGGTAGTTCTGCAGTGTAGGGAGGCTATAGCTAGAAGAATATGTGCATGGTAACGGAATTGTACGTATCTAGTTTTAGAGAGGTCCTCTCTTGGACTTACTTGAGTTCGTTTCTTTCTTTTTTTTTTTTGTTAATCCTTACCTGAGGATTTATTTTCAATTGATTTGTTTTATTTTATTTTACTCTTTTAGGTGGAGTGGAAGGGAGGGAGGAGAGAGAGAGAGAGAAACATTGATGTAAGAGAGACATCGATTAGTTGCCTCCTGCATGGCCCCGACTGGGGATGGGGATCGAACCTGTAACCCAGGTACGTGCCCTTGTTGGGGAATTGAACCTAGACCCTTCTGTCCACAGGCCAATGCTCTAACTGCTGAGCCAAACCGGCCAGGACTTGAGTTTGTTTCTTAATGGGTACCGGTTGTGATGATCTTTGGAGGTTAAGTTCAGTCTGTGTGCCAGGCTCTATTCATTGCTAGGCACTAGGGGTATAAAGATGAATATAACTTAGTCCTTCTGCATGAGTTGCTGAAGATCTAATGGGATAATAAAAGCACAGATGAGTTCAGTACACTTGGGTAAACGGTTGAAGGAAATATTGTTATGTTTACGGGAGCACAGAAGAGGACTCCTTATCCCAGCATGAGGTGTGGAGAATGAACTTAAAGTTGGTATCTGAGCTGACTCTTAAAGGGTGAGTAGGAGCTAGCTATCTGAGAAAGGGTGGTGATGGAGGTGTGGAATAGGAAGGAAAGGGGGCATTCTGGCGAAAGGAGTAGCCTGAAGGAAGGTACAGAGAAGTGAATTGGATGCTGTCTGTGAACTGTAAACAAACTGATAACTTAGAGAGTAAAGAGGGGGTTGGGAAGTCTGAAAGGTAGCAGGGCTGGATCTTGGAAGGGTTGATGTGTTGTGTAAGGAGTTTGGAGTGTTCCTACAGGTAAGAAAGGGGTGAAGCTAGGTCTTAAGCAGAAAAGTGATATGGTCTCTCATGCATTTTATTATTTTTTTAAATCTTTTTTTTTTTGTACGTGCCCCTAGTGGGAACCGAACCCAGGACTCTCTGGTCTGGTCCACAGATCGACGTTCCAACCGCTGGGCCAGACCGACCAGGCTCTCATGCGTTTTAGATAACTGATTCAACTGGATGTGGGGTGGATTTAGGTGGGTTAAGCCTGGTGATAAAGAGGCTGTTACAGAAGTCCAGGTGAAAGGTTACTGGGACCTGAACTAGGGCAGTGGAGGTGTAAAGGTGAGGCAGATTTAAGACACACTTAGAAGTAGCATCAATAGGAGTGTATGAGTGGGTGGTTGGGGAGGTTGTGGTCAGGGGACAGTTAAGTATGAGCAACTGGAGTGGAGGTGAATGTTGTTTGACCTGAGGATTAGCTATTAGCTGGGTCCTTTATGGAGGAACTTTCTGAGTCAAATGCCAAATTATAGAGTGAATGTGTGGCTGTCATTGGTCATTGACAGGGGATTGGTAAATGACCACCATGAGGAAAGGTTAAACGATGGTATATCCAGTTGGCGTCTGAATATCCAGGGGGTATGTGGTAGAAGAGGGGAATTACAGGAATGTTCAATGTAGGATCTTAGTCATGTTTCTGGATTTAGATCCATGAGTTTTTGGTGACTTTTACTGATTAACCTTAGAGCAGTTATGCTTCTGGACTTGATTGTATTGTAGGAAACCTACAGGTAGGTTTAGGGAAGGATGAGCCTAGGCTGCAGAGGTCAAGGATGCCTATCTCTTTGAATCTTTTTCACGACGATTTATGTCAGCTTTACAAAGTGATTTCACATGTATTTTCTCATTGGGTTCTTTTTTTGTTTTGTTGTTTTTTGGTTAATCCTCACCCAAGGATATTTTTCCATTGATTTTTAGAGTGGAAGGGAGGGACAGAGAAACATTGTGAGAGAGAGACACATTGATTGGTTGCCTCCCCCATGACCCCGACTGAGGTTGGGGATCGAACCTGCAACCCAGGTATGTGCCCTGGACCTGGAGTCAAACCCATGACCCTTTGGTCCACAGGCCGATGCTCTAACCGCTGAGCCAAACTGGCCAGGGCTCATTGGATTCTTAACAAGTCTCAGGAGTAGTTTTTTTCATGCCTGTTTTGTAGATGGGGGCAGTGAGACTTTGAAGTTAAGTGACTTGCTTAAGGTCACACAGCTACATGGCTTGTTAATGATACAGGCAGAATTGAAACTCGTTTTCACCCTAAAGATTTTCAGTTTCCTGCTGTCAGTCCCTAAGTTCATCTGCTACAGCTTCCTTTTAAAGAGGGTATAGTGCATGGTTCGTGCTAAATTCCGAAGCAACCTTCCTGCTAAGGCCATTGGACACAGAATTCGTGTAATGCTGTACTCCTCAAGGATTTAAATTTATTGAAAAGTAAATAAAATGGATTTGCTCTCTTAAAAAAAAAAAAAAGTTAGGAGGGTATTCTCTTGCCCTGGCCGGTTTGGCTCAGCAGTTAGAGCATCCACCTGCGGTCCGGAGAGACCCGGGTTCGGTTCCCACTAAGGGCATGTACCTCGGTTGCAGTTTGTCCCCGGCCCTGGTTGGTCGTGCGGGTGGCAGCCACTCGATGTGTCCCTTTCACATTGATGTTTCTCTCTCTCTTTCTCTCTTTCTCTCTCTCTCTCTCTTCCTCTCACTCTATCTGTGCAAAGAATGGAAAAATGTCCTCGGGTGAGGATTAAAAAATAAAATAAATAAATAAATAATAGGGTATTCTCTGCTTCTGCTCCATTTTGTCTACATTTAAGAGGTGAACTGGTTGTGGGGGAGCAGATGGGACCAAGAGCACTATTTTGGAGGCAGGTGGGAACAATTAGGGTAATATCTCATAGCAACTCCTGCTGAATGGGTAGCACTGAAATCCCACGTAACATTCTCACTTAGGTAGAGTGACTCTAGTTCTCCAGTAGCATCTTGGACTTAGGGTACCACCTGTGTATGTGGTGAGCTCAAGGCTTTATTTATTATTATTATTTTTTTAAATCCTCACCTGAGGATATTTTTCCATTTATCTTCAGATGGGGGTGGGGTGGGAGAAAGAGAGAAACATTGATGTGAGAGAGACACATCGACTGGTTGCCTCCCACATGACCCTGAACAGGGCCTGGGAGGAGCGGCAACTGAGGTACGGACCCTTGGCTGGAATTGAACCTCCAACTCTTTGGTCCACAGGCTGATGCTCTAACCACTGAGCAAAACTGGCCAGGGTTGGGCTTTATTTTTAAATAAACACTTGCGAAGCACTGCACAGTGTCGGGCATTATGTTAGCACTGGGAATGCAGAAAGGAGCGAGAACAGTTCTTGCCACTGTCGGGCTCACAGGTTCTTTCTGTGTCCATACAGTGTAGTGGGGATTGCAGCTGCCGAGCAGGGATTCTGGAAAGCATCGCGCACCTGAGCCCCCAGTATGGCGGGCCTAAAGCGGCGGGCAAGCCAAGTGTGGCCGGAAGAGCGTGGCGAACAGGAGCACGGGCTGTACAGCCTGCACCGCATGTTTGACATTGTGGGCACCCACCTGACACACAGAGACGTGCGCGTCCTTTCCTTCCTCTTTGTCGACGTCATTGATGACCATGAGCGTGGCCTCATCCGAAATGGACGTGACTTCTTACTGGCATTGGAGCGCCAGGGCCGCTGCGATGAGAGCAACTTCCGCCAGGTGCTGCAGCTGCTGCGCATCATCACTCGCCACGACCTGCTGCCCTACGTCACGCTCAAGAGGAGACGGGCTGGTGAGGGGCACGGGTCTGGGGTCCCAGTGGGCAGTGGCACTGACCCTGCAGGCTACACAGGACTGTTATGAGGCCTGTTAGATGGTTGGACCAGAAGGGAGGGGTGCATCTTCTTGAATGACTACCTTTCCCTCTACAGTGTGCCCTGACCTTGTAGACAAGTATCTGGAGGAGACATCAATTCGCTATGTGACCCCCAGGGCCCTCAGTGATCCAGAACCAAGGCCTCCTCAACCCCCTAAAACAGGTGAGAGGATATTAACTTCTCTAATTCCCACCATCAAGAAAGGGGACACCGAACCTGTCATAGTCCCACCTTAAGGGACCCTGCCCCCTCCATGGCCCCATTAAAATCAGGTGAGTTGCTATTGTGTTCCCTAGGTCCTGTGATTGTTGCCACGCTGTCCTCCTCCTAGGTCACATTGTGGACACTGCATTTCCTACTGAGTCTAAATGATTCCTTCCTTATTCCAAGAGAATAGTTTGAGCATTTATCCCACTGTCTTCTCCCCTCTTCCCCTGGCCAGTGCCTCCCCACTATCCTGTGGTGTGCTGCCCTACTTCGGGCCCTCAGATGTGTAGCAAGAGGCCAGCTCGAGGAAGAGCCACACTTGGGAGCCAGCGAAAACGCCGGAAGTCAGTGACACCGGATCCTAAGGAAAAGCAGACATGTGGTGAGACGTTCAAGGGTCTCGGAGGGGTGCTCGGCAGTGCGAGGCTCCCTTGGAGTGCTGTTGCCGTGATGTTGAGTGGTGGTTGCTGTGGGGGGAGGATTCCCATCTTTGTGGCAGTGTATCTGTCAGCTCTGTCAGCACCAGATCAAAGGGATGCTGTCGTGACATCTTTATTGACAGAATGAACCACGTCATGGTTGAGTATGAAGATTTACTGTGCTGTTAACTAGGAAAATCTCTATCGGAAGCAAAGTGATGCTTGAGTGGTGGGACGAGGTGACCTGAGCATGGCCTATTTAAGGGAACCTCCTGTATTTGGGAGGTTCAGGGGTACCTAGAAAAGTAGTCCTGGGGAACAGGGTGGAAAGCTGTTAGGTGGTGTTCGGACTTCGCCACTCTGCTGCTCTTTCAACCTTTCTCTAAACTCATCCTTCACAGCAGCCTCTTCTGCATCTTTTCTCTTTCCTGCAGACATCAGACTGCGGGTTCGGGCTGAATACTGCCAGCACGAGACTGCTCTGCAGGGCAATGTCTTCTCTAACAAGCAGGACCCACTTGAGCGCCAGTTTGAGCGCTTTAACCAGGCCAACACCATCCTCAAGTCCCGAGACCTGGGCTCCATCATCTGTGACATCAAGTTCTCTGAGCTCACCTACCTCGACGCATTCTGGCGCGACTACATCAACGGCTCGTTACTAGAGGCACTTAAAGGTGTCTTCATCACAGACTCCCTCAAGCAGGCTGTGGGCCATGAAGCCATCAAGCTGCTGGTGAATGTGGATGAGGAGGACTATGAGCTGGGCCGACAGAAACTCCTGAGGAACTTGATGCTGCAGGCCTTGCCCTGACCTTCCCTCTCATGGGACTGGTCCCACCACTCGCCTCTGGAGCGTACATACTGTTCTGGGGTTTGTCCTCTCCCCTTCCAACCAATCACACCCCTGCCTTTTTTTTTTTTTTTTTTTTTTAAAGGAAAAGACAAAGGAAAATGGAAGTGGTGTTTCCCACCCTCCCTGTACCCATGTGCCTGGGCTTCCCCCGTTTCCTTTTCCACTCACCCCAACGTGTCTGCAGCCACCTTACCACTGAGCCGTGAGACAGATGTGTAGGGAGAAGCAAAGTCTGTAGGACAGTCTTTGTGAGGGACTGAAGCAACCACTGCGTCTGGGTGCATTGAGGGGCTGTCAGTACTTCTGGCTTTATGAGGGCTCTTACATTTTGTCTGAAAAACCAAAGGGCTGTGTGTAAGGGAGCTGTGTTGTGTGGAAGGTGAGACTCTGAAGTGTATTTTGGAAATGAATCACCACCCTCTCCCAAATTATAGAATTTTTAAAAAAGAAGCTGTGGCCCTTTCCACTCTCTCCTGGCCTCTGGTGCTGCTCCTCTGCCTTGTTTCTTCTGTCCCATGGCTGAAACTTCTGCCTGGTGTGGCTCCTCCTTCCCCCTTGTCCAGCCGTCTTCAAGGGAAAATAGGTGAGAGGACTAGGTAGCCCAGTCAGCCCGCCCAGCTGTGGGGTGTGTGTGTGTGTGTGCACAAGCACGGGAGTGTGCGGAGGTTGAAACACTCCCCCTGAAAAGGGAGGGGAGAGTGACTTTCCTTCCATGTGCAAGTGAAAATAAATGAGGTACCCTGCAGCCCTTCCCCTTCGCTTTCTTCTTGCTTAGGCAAAGGGCACAACAGGTGAAAGTGAAGTGATTCAGTATAATCTCCCTTTTCCCTTCCCCATCCTGCGCCCCCCTGCTCCCGAGCATGGGGCTGGGACATGCAGGATGTTGCACTTTTATGTCGGTAGGAGGCATGTTGAATGAACTAAGAGGCTTAGAACTGGAGCTGAGTCTAGCTGGTACACCACTACCTCCCCTCTCAGCTCCCAAAGGAGAGGTCCAGGCACACTTTATATTTTTTTTCAATGCCAGTGCTGCTCGGCCCTCAGCATAATTTTAGTTTTCATGAAATAAACAGTGACTGTATAAAATGCCGCATTTTTTAAAACAAATCTGAGCTCAGGTGAGTTTCTTTCCCAAGAAGCTGAGCCTATGTTCCTTCAAGAGTCAAGGTTCTCCAGATGAGGGGAAGTGCACCTGGGTCCCACCTCTAAGTAACAGCAACACAAGCTCACAATGGGGTCTCAACTCACAGAAGTGGGCAGTTTGTTTTTTTTTTAGTGAGAGGGAAAGAGAGATATATTGATTGGCTGCCTCCTGCATGCCCCCTACTGGGGATTGAGGCCAAAACCCGGGCATGTGCCCTGACCAGGAATTGAACCAGGACCTCTCAGTCCATGGGATGACTCAATCCACCGAACCACACTGGCTGGGCAAGAAGTCAGAAGTCTTAAGACAGTGGGTGACCCAGACTGCCATAGAGGTCAGGCCTGCGGTGCTGGAACACAGGCAGATGCTGGCGCAACTGTCGCAGATAACTGAGGTCGATTCGGGCAAGACAGAGGCCTGGTCCCTCAGAGCAGCGGGCCACCACTGTTCCCCAAGGATCTACCACCATACTGTGGCCATAACTCGCTCTCTTCTCGTGGTGGCGTCCACACTGTGCTGCAGCCACTACATAGCACTGGGTTTCAATGGCACGGGCCCGCAGCAACACCTGGGGAGAAGATAGATAGGCCAGCCTACCCACTGTGATCATTCTGCAATTGCCTGGAAATGATTTAGGATGTTAACTATTAACATGAGAGTTTGGCAACAGTCTGGGGAATGGATTTTCTCACTAGGTGGAAGGGGGAGAGAATCTAACTGGGAAGAGAGATTAAGAGAAGGCCTGCATGTTCTAAAGAGGTCCTCTTACCTCCCAGTGGGCTGGGCCTGTTACGGATCCAAAAGCTGAAGGGTAGGTAAGTATTTCTGCTCCAGCCTGAGCCAGTGCCAGAGAGAGTTCAGGGAACCGCATGTCATAACAGATAGCCAGACCGACCTGGAATGAAAAGTGTCCTGTTTGTCACAGCACCTAGCCACCCTATTCTAGGGCTTTATCTACTGCCATGTCTCAGTATTCCTGTCCCCTCCCTCTTGATGCTCTCCCTCCCTTTCCCTTTCACAGCTCCCACCTTGCCTGCTGGTGTGCTGACAGGTGACTCGAGACTGGGCCCAGGCATGGTAGTGTTGCTTTCGTGCATAGGCCCCTGCCCTGGAATCTCTACGTCACACAGATGTGTCTTCCTGTAAGTGGCCACTACTGACCCTAGAGTAAGAGGGAGAAGGAATATTTGGTGCTGGTGCTCTAGAAGCCCACCTTAGCTGTTCTCCCAAGGAGGAGCCCTTGTCCAAGGAAACAGTTGAGAAAATACAATTCTGGAGAATCTTGGGTTAGGTACAAGAACCTGGGAAGAGGCAGGCTAAAGAGCTGTGGAGTCTCACCCTTGCTGTTGAGAAGCACGTGACAATTGTAGATCTTCTGAGTCTGCTCCCAGTCTTGGCCACGTTCATGGAAACCACCCAAGGACAGCCAGAGTCCACATTCCCTGGGGGGAGGGGACGCTGGCACTCTTCCCGAGGCTCCACCCTCATGTCTGGCAACCCAGAGACAATGCCCAACAAAGAAATTAAACTTCTCCCTCCCCCTTTTCCTGATACCTGGCAAGCTGGGCATATTCTTCCAAAAGGTGCCCTCCCAGTGGCTCAGACAGGTGCAGAGTTTCTGCAGGGTCCCGTGCAATGAAGTCAAATGCCTCGGGCAGGAAAGCCAGGCAGGCGCCCAGTCTGGCAGCCTCTCGAACCAGCTCAGCACAAGCCTTAAAGTTCTGCTGCTTGTCTGGCGTCGATGTTACCTGGCACACAGCCACCAGGGGCAGTTCCCAGGAGGAAGAGGACACAGCCATGGCTCTGGGCCTGTGAATGGCGCAGGCAGGAACGGCGTGCGGAAACCTAGGTTCAGTGATAAAGGGCTCAAATGGGGAGGCAGGAATGCTGGACTTCCTTTGGTTCTGTCCTCACAAGGCATAATGACCTACCCATGCAATGTTTGGTAGATGGTCGGCACCCCACTGTTTCCCACCACCCTTCATTCCACAAACGTGTTGAGCATCTATTATGTGCCAGGCACTGAGGATACAAACATGTTACCTGGGCAGAGCACAAAGTACTGAAAGTCGAAGTATCCGCAGTCTGGGACTTAGAAGGGACAGGAGGTGGTGCGGAGGGCTGACAACGAAGCCGAGCCTGAGGAAGGTGAGAAATCAGGACACCAGCCCCTCCCTGGAGCAATACACTTCCGGGATTCTCTGCATCTTCAGCTGGGAGGCTGAATCAGGGCCCTTCCGGTGAAAACCCCGTCTTCGAAACACTCTAGGTAATTACGAGCGGCAGGAAGCGATCACACGCGGGAAGACAAAGGACACCTCCACTTCCCGCGACCTCGCCTCCACCTGAAGCCCTGTCCCTGCCCAGCGCTCCCGCAGCTCAAGTCACCTCCCGGAACTTGCCCGGGTTCCCCTCTCTCCGGGAGTGTGCACCTGCACAGCTTCCTCCGCACCCCGCCCGGGGGCCGCCCGCCCGCCCCGCGCGCCCCGCGCCCCGCGCCCCTCCGCTCGGCCCGTCCTCCCGCCTCTCCCTGCGGCGTCTCTGCTGCACAGGTGAAGGCACCGCAGCGGAATTCACCGCGGCCGGCGGCACAGGGAGTAGGCCCTACATGGAGACACAGCGGGGTCACTCGCGGGATCCAAACCGGAGAACGGCCCGGAGGCGGAGGCGCAGGCGAGGGGGCGGAAACCCCGGCCGGAAGTGACGCAGGCTGCGCTGCGCGCCGGAAGCCCCGCAGGCGGCGAAGATGGCGGAGAGCAGCGGTCGCGCCGGCAAGAACAGCGGGAGCGGCGCGGGGAAGGGGGCGGTGTCGGCCGAGCAGGTGAGGCGCGGAGGCGGCGCGGGCGGGCAGCCGCGGGCCCAGGCGGGGCGCGCGGCGAGGGCCGCCGGGGCGGGAGGGTCCCGGAGAAGCCGAGCGAGCCTCGGGCCGAGCAGGCGGTGGGGAGGGGAAAGCCACGCACCTGGGTGCTGGGCGAGCCTCCGGAAGGGAACCCCGGGATGCAGGTCTGGGAGGGCGCCCGGGTCTGGCGGGGTGGTCCTCACTTCCCCGCGTCTCCGCCCCCCAAACAGGCCGTGGCGAGGCTGCGGCGGCGGCGCGCTGGGTGCCCGACCCGGGACCAGGCGGGCACAGCCGAGCCGCGTGACGCGCACGCTGGACCCGTCTAGAGTTTCGTGCTCTTTTGATTCGGGAGTCGTTATTCGATGGAATTTCTTTAGCGACCAGAATCCCTTTCTGATCCGAGTCTGCATTTCCTCCCAGTGCCTGACATCGGGAAACATTTTATAAATTAATCAGGTAGCCCGTTATGGCTTGGCCCCATGGTTTGCTAACCATGGCTAGTAGTTAACAGAGATGGGAAGAAATCCACATAAGAGAAAGAAAAACATAGTTAAGTGATAGCTTTTAAAATACGGGTTCATTTACTAGTTATTTCTTGAACAATTATGTAAGCAAAGATATCTGTATGAGGACTTTTTAGACTGTCTCTTGCCCTCAAAGAGTGCTAGTCTGGTTGGGGAAAATAAGTTCTAGGAAATGGTAATATGAGGCAGAAGAGGTATAAAGTGCTATAGGATTTTAAGGAGGGAGGCAGCAAGTTTCAGATTTAACGGGGGAAAAAGGGAAGGGAGAGGAACCTAATATTTTCTGAGGGTCTTCCATGTGCCAGACACTTTGCTAGGAAGCTGGAAATGTAAATAAAATAGACCTTGTTGTGAACTTAGCTCACAGACTCATTTGAGAAAAAACAAACCAAACATAAGGCTTACAGTGTTCCAGCTGCTGCTTTATGGCAGGTGGAGGAGCAGGAGGGTGTGGGTTTGGGTGGGAGGAGGTGGGGTGGGGAAGCTGTGGTCTGATAGGGTGGCTGAGACCATAGAAAGTGCACTGGGGCCCGGCATGTGTGTCTTTGAATCCCATTTATACCATTTTGCTCTGTATGACCACCCCTGAGTTACCACTCTTGGTTTTCTCTTCCAGTAAAAACATAATGCTACCTACCTCATCACTGAATTTTTTTGGTTTGTTTGTTTTGTTAATCCTCACCAGAGGATATTTTTTCCATTGATTTTTAGACAGAGTGCGGGGTGGGGCATCGATGTGAGAGAGAGACATCAGTTGGTTGCCTCCTGCATGCTGGGGCTGGGGGATGGAACCTGCAACCCAGGTACAGGTCCTTATCAGGAATTGAACCCGAGACCCTTCAGTGTGTGGGCTGATGCTCTACCCACTGGGAAACACTGGCCAGGGCCTCATCGCTGTATTTTGATTATTAGGCAAGACAATGCATGCAAAGTATTTTGCATAATGACTGGAATATAGTATATGCTTAATACATGCCAGTTATTTTGTTTTCTGGAAGAGATAATCCTTTAGCTCAATTCTAAAGGATGAGAAGTTAGTCAAGCAAAGAGGGAAGTGGAGAGTTTTCTAGGTAGAGAGAACACTGTGAGCACTAAGGCCTGAGACTCTGTCATGTTTGGGATGCAGGTAGACTTACAATTTGGAATGGACTGTAAGACTTGGACGCGAAGAAAAAGTGATAAAAGTAATCTAGGATGTTTCTCTGGTTTCTGTCTTTGATTGATGCTGGTGCCATCGGGATTGTAGGAAGAAGGGCAAGTTTATGGGGAGAAAATAAGTTTATTTTAGGATTTTAGGTTTGGGTTTCGTGTGGGACATCCAGGTAGAGACATTTATTAGATGGTTAGATATATAAATATTGAGCTACAGAAAGAAATCTGAGTTGGAGCGATAGGTTAGATAATTATGAGCTTATGGTTGTAGATTGGTAGACAGTTCATAGTGATAGACTATATCATCTAGGGATTGTACAGAAAATGAAAAAAGAAGCAAGCGGTGGTGAAGAAAGTGAATCCCTCGAAAAAGATGGAGGAGCTGTGATCATTAAGCTTTGAGAGTGTCCTTGCTGAGCATTCTCTGGCCTTTGTGTTCCAGAGAGTGCTGGGTAGGAAATACAAGGTTTATTGTTGCTGCAATTTGAGCCACATATGTCCCTTGCAAACAACATGGAAGCAAGTAACACATTGTGCTAGGCTCTGTACTTGTTTTTTTTCTGTTACTGAAGTAGTGCCATTTGAAGTAGGTTGTATTGTCCTTTTATGGATAAGGCCAGTTGAGTTTCAGCGGCTTTAGTTAACTTATCCAAAGTCAGTGACTTGGAAGAGCAGGGCTTTTAATTGAGGGACTTGAGAATCAGACAGATCTATTTTTTTCACTTATACCATGATCATATCAGAGATAATTGAGCTGAGCCTGAGGGCTGAATGGATTTGAACAGGTGGCAATAGAAGTAGGGTAAGAAGGAGGGAGAGAGGGAAAGCCTAGATCAACTTGAAGTGCAGTGACCATTAGCTAATTAAATCATGAGGTGCATGTTGGAAAGATGTCCTGAAAGTAAGTTGAATCCTTGCATGGCAAAGAATTTGGGACGTTTTCATGTCAACAGAGAGGGAGTCACAGAAGGATATATTATGCTATTGACCATAACCCTGTCATGTAAAATATGTGCATTGTGGAAAATGTAGAAAACAGGAAAAAATACAGTAAGAAATAAATTACCCAGGATCTTGTTATTGAGAGTTAACTATTCTTAATGTTTTGGAGTATATTCTTTGAGAGGTCTTGCCCCTCCTTAATGGTTTTGTTTATGTGTGTGTGGACAGAAAGGGAAGATGTGTATTTTACATATTTACTTATTCTCATCTGAGGGTATGTTTTTATTGTTAGGGAGAGAGAGGGAGAAATCGATGTGAGAGAGAAATATTGATCGGTTGCCTTCTGTATGCACCTGATCTGGGATCAAACCCACAACCTAGGTTCATGCCCTGACTGGGAATCAAACCCACCACCTTTTGGTGGGGCTGTATTTACCTATTTTATGAAATTAGTATTATACAACATACACTGTTTTGTAATCAGCTTTTTAAGCCTGATAATGTGTCGTGAACATTTTTCTGTCATCAAGTGTTAGGAAAATTAAATTGACACCAGTGAATAGGATGAATTTGGAGAGTCAAAAATAGGGAGACAATTTAGAAGACTGTTGTTATGGTTGAGACAGGAGGTAATGAGGCCTGAACTAGGGGGATGTCAGTGAGCCTAAGAAAATTGCTGAGGTAGGTGCAGTAAACTTGCCTACTGATGGGCAAGAGTGTGTTCAAAGATGGAACCAGGGTTTCCTACCTGGAGGGCTCGAGTGGTGTCATTAGCAGAAATAGGGAGACAAGAAGAGGAATAGTTTAAAACGGGGTAAAAGATAAGCAGCTCAGCTCTGAATGACCTGAACGGAAAGTATCCATAGGACATTTGGGTGGAATGTTTTGTAATAATAGGAGCTACTGTGTATTAACGATCTGTTATATGCTGGATATTGTCCCGAATCCTTAATGTAGTTAATTGTCACAACATTCTATGAGACAGATATTATCTCTGTTTTATTAGTGAGAACACTTAGGTTAAAAAAAGAAATAACTTGCTTATGGTCAGACTTAAGACATTTAGTCTGACTCCGAAGCTCCTTCCTCTAACTTGGAAATACGCGTCTAGAACAGTGGTTCTCAACCTTCCTAACGCCGTGACCCGTTAATACAGTTCCTCATGTTGTATGTGGGTGTATCTGCATGTGGGCGGGCCCGTCTGGAGACGGATAGAGGAGCGGTGTCTCGGTTCCTAAGACCATCAGAAATATGTGTTTTCCAACAAAGGGTTGTTCAACCCACAAAGGGGCCGCGACCCACAGGTTGAGAACCGCTGGTCTAGAAGTTCTGAGAAAGCCTGACTTAATAAAGGCAATTGTTGAAATCATAGAGGTAGCTAAGGGTACCAGCTGAAAGAGTATAGATAATAAAGGGAGGAGTACTATGAACAGAGTTTTAGATCTTGTCTCCATCACAGGGGTGAGAGGAAGAACTTCAGAGTGAGTAAGGAGTGTTGGGAGAGGTAGGAGAGCCAGAGAGCCGAGGGTCCTGGAGACAGAGGGCAGACCCTGCATCACGTCGGACCCCTGATCATGTCTGTTCGGATCTCATCATCATCCTGTGGCTCTCGCCCTCTGTGACTTTGCCCCTGGGAGACCTCTGCTAATGTCTGGAGACGTGTTTGGTTGTCACAAGTAGGAGTTGCTTCTGTTTTTGTTTTTTTTTTCCTCACCCGAGGACATTTTTGCATTTCAGATAGAGCAGGAAGGAGAGAGAGAGGAAGAGAGAGAGAGGGCGAGAGAAACACCGATGCAAGAGAGACATATCGACTGGTTGCCACCTACACAACCTCTACCAGGGCCAGGGACAAACTGCAACCGAGGTATGTGCCCTTAGCGGGAACCAAACCCGGGTCTCTGGACCGCAGTTAGGCCGATGCTCTGATTGCTGAGCCAAACCAGCCAGGGCAGGAGTTGCTTTTGTTTTAGTGGCTAGAAGCCAGGGATGTTGCTTAACATCTTACAGTGTACAGGACAACCCCCAGAACCAAGAATTATTTGGTCCAAAATATCAGTAGTACTGATGTTGAGAAACCAGGAGAAGTCACGTAACTCAGTCATCTGGCAAGCATATGGCAAAACTAGAATTGGAACCCATGTCAGACTCAACAGTTTGAGGTGGCACCGGTCAGCCATGGGATGACATTGGCTGTATGTGAACTTGCAGAGAGAGACCCTAGAGAGAGGAGGGTTGTAGGTGATGTAAGTGAGGGGAGATTGCAGTGGTTAGAGAGGATGGACCCCTGCTCTCAGCTGGTCAGGAGAGTCCAAGGGAGCACTGTGGTTTAGAGAGAAGACTGATGGTAATGCGTGTACTTGGCTGCTTACAGAGCTGTTCACACTACTTAGTTCCCATCATGTGAAAGCCTTTGAAAGTAGGAGCCATCCTCTGCATTACACAAAGGAGAAGCCGGAGGCCCAAGGTCAATCCAGTGGCTCTGACTGTAGAATTAGATGAGAGATCTTTCTAGAAATCTACCCCCCCAGTGTAGTTGTTTTGAGGCTCCAGTATTTGTGTTTCTTAAATGCTCTCCTGGTGATTCTAACATGTAGCTGGGTTGAGTGCCATAGTGTAAATGTCTGTCCCAGGTCGTAGAGCCAGTAAGTGGCAGAGACAAAATTTGAAACACGGTCTTTGTCTTTTCCTCTCTCTCTCTTTCAAGGATTGTTTCAGAAAGACGGTGGGTAGTTCACAAAATTGAACACTGAAAAGAAAGGTCAGGTAACTAGTTCACAAAAGGACAACAAAGTGTCTTAGCGCCGGCTGACTTCTGCACCTGTTCATCTCAGTGCAAAACCTAATTCCTGTGGGGAGACACTGGCGTCTAGGTCACTGCCCGTGGTCAGAGGGCAAGGTCCTGTGATTAGTAGCCCCTCGAGAACCCCACCGGCTGTTACTGCAAGGTGGACCAGCAGGTGTCTCACACACAGTAGGCACTTGGAAAGTGTAGGGTGAATGGGATTCCAGGCAGGCGTAAGTTAGAAATTGCAAACGTGTGCTCCTCCTTTGCCACTGCATCTTTGTAAGCCTGCGACCCTATGTTGTATCTTGACCCTGTGCCATTTCCACTGTCTCCTCTCTCACTCATGTCTCTCATCCTAGGTCATTGCTGGCTTCAACCGCCTTCGGCAGGAACAGCGGGGCCTAGCATCCAAGGCAGCGGAGCTGGAGATGGAGTTGAATGAGCACAGGTGAGGCAGCCAGGAGGTGGTGCACGGCAGGAAAGCTGGAGGGCTGTTCTGTAGGGGAGGGCTGCAGTGGCGCGGGCCTGAACTCTGACCCTGCCTTGTCGTCCTGCCCCAGCCTAGTGATCGATACACTGAAGGAGGTAGATGAAACCCGAAAGTGCTTCCGCATGGTTGGAGGGGTGCTGGTGGAGCGCACTGTCAAAGAGGTGCTGCCTGCCTTGGAGAACAACAAGGAGCAGGTGAGCAGGAGTCTCTGAGGACAGCTCAGGACAAGCAGGGGAGGAAAGAGGCCACAGGTTTAGGGGATAGGTGGAAGAAAGTCTGAGTAGCCTTTTAGCCTACGCTTTTTTTTTTTTTTTTATCCTCACCAGAGTTGTTTTTTTTTTTTTGTACATGCTCCTAATGGGAACCAAACCCGGGACTCTCTGGTCCGCAGGCCAATGCTCCAACCACTGAGCCAAACCGGCCAGGGCTTGAGGACATTTTTGCACTTATCTTCAGATAGAGCGGGAGGGAGAGAGGGAGGAAGAGAGAGAGAGAGAAACATTGATGTGAGAGACACATCAAGTGGTTGCTGCCTGCACGACCCCAACCGGGACTGGGGACAAACTGCAACCAAAGAACGTGCCCTTAGCAGGAATTGAACCCGGGACTCGGGTCCGTGGGCTGACACTCTAACCACGGAGCCAGACCTGCCAGGACTGGCCTATGCTCTTGTCCTCTAGACAAGAGGACGTGGTGGCTGTATGCCTCTTTCCCTGGGCTCTGTGACCAGGCTGATTGGGGATGTGAGGTGGTGAGAGCAGTTTCTATGATTCCTGCAAACAAATCCCCCAGAGGACTAATTTAAAATGCAGCTTCCGCCCTGGCCGGTTTGGCTCAGCGGTTAGAGCGCCGGCCTGCGGTCCTGAGAGACCCGGGTTCGGTTCCCGCCAAGGGCATGTACCTCGGTTGCGGTTTGTCCCCGGCTCTGGTCAGTCGTGCGGGTGGCAGCCACTCGATGTGTTCCTTTCACATCGATGTTTCTCTCTCTCTCTCTCTCTGTTCCTCTCTCTCCCTCCCACTCTACCTGAACAAAAAATGGAAAAATGTCCTCGGGTGAGGATAAAAAAATAAATAAAATGCAGCTTCCTAGACCCTCTCCTGGTTCCACACCTTTGGAGATGAGGCCCATGAGGTGGCATTTTAAAAATAGCCCAGCCCAGCCCTGACCGGTTTGGCTCAGCGGTTAGAGCATCGGCCTGTGGTCCCGAGAGACCCGGGTTCGGTTCCTGCTAAGGGCATGTACCTCGGTTGCAGTTTGTCCCCGGCCCTGGTTGGTCGTGCGGGTGGCAGCCACTCGATGTGTCCCTTTCACATCGATGTTTCTCTCTCTCTTCCTCTCTCCCCCTCCCACTCTACCTGAACAAAAAATAGAAAAATGTCCTCAGGTGAGGATTAAAAAAAAAAAAAAAAGCCCAGCCGGTGTGGCTCAGTGGTTGAGCATCAACCCTTGCACCAAGAGGTCGCCAGTTTGATTCCCGGTCAGGGCACATGCCCACGTTGTGGGCCAAATCCTCAGTGGGGGACATGCAGAAGGCGGCCAGTTGATGTTCTCTCTCATCCATGTTTCTCTCTCTCCCTCTCCTTTCCTCTCTGTCTTGTTAACATCAATAAAGAAAAAAAGAAAAATAAGCAGCCCCAGGGGATTCTTGTGTATACCAAGGTTATGAAACATTGTGTTTGAGAGAGGAATAATTTTAGTGTCTGGGCTCTACTATTATAACCTGGTTAAAGGTGAGGTTGGAGGTGTCATCTCTTCTTCACTTCCCCACTCCATACTAGGTGGGGGGAGGAAACCCTGGAATCTAATGCAATGTCTGTTGCTTGCTCTCTAGATACAGAAGATCATCGAGACGCTGACACAGCAGCTTCAGGCAAAGGGAAAGGAACTCAATGAATTCCGGGAAAAGCACAACATTCGCCTCATGGGGGAGGACGAGAAGCCTGCCAAGGAGAACTCAGAAGGGGCTGGGGCTAAGGCCAGCTCAGCTGGAGTGTTGGTCTCCTAGGGACCAAGGCCTTTGCATTTTTTTTCCTACCCTGACTCCCACTTCTTCTAATTTCTCTTTATTGTTATTATTTTCTCTGCTATTGTAATATTTTTTGTTAATTAAATGTTTTGGTCAGAAAGCTTAGCTCTAGCCTGAACATTTCTCCCACTGTGAGGGATGGAATTTGCACGGGGCAGGGAAAAGCATGTGATTTGTGGCTTTTGGTTCCATCAAGTTAATGGCTCACAGTAACAGAGGAGGTCCCATATTTTATTTTATTTTTTTATCCTCACCCGAGGACATTTTTCCATTTTTTGTTCAGATAGAGTGGGAGGGAGAGAGAGAGAGAGAAACATCGACGTGAAAGGAACACATCGAGTGGTTGCCACCCGCACAACCGACCAGGGCCGGGGACAAACTGCAACCGAGGTACGCGCCCTTAGCGTGAACCAAACCCGGGTCTCTCAGGACCGCAGGCCGACGCTCTAACCGCTGAGCCAAACCGGCCAGGGCAGGTCCCATATTTTATCCCTTGCCTTGCAAACAAAGATGTGTCTTTACTCATTTACTGCCCTCACCCCAAAAGATTCAGAGACAAATGTTGACTGTTAGATTGAAGTTTAATAAGCATGTGACGTGGCAGGTAGCTCTGGTGACAATGCTTCATGCATCTACAACAAACCACAGCTCGGCAGTGTTTCTTGGCACCATTCTCTAGATGAAGAGGTCCAGGGTGCAAACCTGTGGACTGGCTGTCCTGCCGTCCTCACCAAAACCTCCAACCAGGTAAAGCTGGTCATTCCACAGGCAGGTCCGATGGCCCACACGTTTCAGCGCACGGTCCGCACAGGGGAAGTGGAACCACAGAGGGGGAGCCGTGCCTGCTGGGTAAGGCGGAGGGTGGTGATTGGGGCAGTAGCGCCTTGTCACCCACCAAATACCTGCCCTTTTTCCCTCCTCACTTGATTGTTGGGCCTCTTCAGGATTTAATATTCTGTGTATTCCTTTAACTTGTCAGCTAATTCTTCCTTTTCCCTACCCCACCACTGACTTACTCTCTGAGGTCTTCAGGTTCTCCTGTCTTCCCACCTTGTCCCCTCCTCAACCATTAAGTGGGTTCTCACGGGCATCACAGACGTAGAGGTCATTGCAGACGGTGTCTCTAGCTCTGGTTAGAGTTTCTCCACCAAACAGCACAGCAAAAGGTCCAACCACAGAACATGACTGATGCCGTAGTCCCCGAGGCCCCTGCGGGGACCCCTGCCCACTGCTCACAAGCTTTGCAAGCTGTTCCGTCAAACGTGGGGCAACAGACGGTTCCTCCTTGAGGGAGAAAGCAGGGGAACTGTCTGGAGGGATCTGAGCGTCACAATTTTGACCGCTTTTCATCCTAAGTAAGGTGTGAATAATACCTTAATCCTCCCATAACTCCAGTGCCCGGCTACTTCTGGTTCAGCTGAGCTGCAGCCCCCAACAAGCAACAGCTGGTGACCGGGACGAGGCCCAGGAGTTGGGAGCAGGGCAGCACAGTGCCCTGAGCGGGAAACTGAGTGGTAGCTCTCTTCCTTATAGCTGAGGATACGTACAGGGCAGGCCTGAGCTGGGGTTTTGGGAAAACTGTTAAGTGGTGTGCCGCCTTTTCCCCACCCCCTTTGCCAAGGATAGAAAGGAGGCATGGGACCTGGGGGTAGTCGGATGGGAGGGAGGGTAATGTTGGTAGACGGCTCGCCCATCTTAGCCGTCCTGGGGGAGGAGGCTGCAGGGTGAGGCTGTGGATAAACTCGCGAAATCGTTTAGCCGTGGCAATTCCAGAGTAGATGCAGGGAGGGTGACGGTTTGGGCGGGCTGGGGGGCATACCAATAGGTGCGGGCGCCGGGGTCCAGCTTTAACAAGTAGATGCTTCCATAGCGACGCTGAGTGCGGGTTCCCCCTTCCCGGCCGGCCACTCGCAGCTCTCGGTCCGAGAGGCGGGTGCAGGTGTGACTGCTGAGGCCGGCAGGAGGGCAGCTGCCGGGGGCCGCGGTCCACGTCTCCCACTCCCCGCGCTCCGTGTCCAAGGCCGCCACCGTGGCCACGCGGCGCGACCCGTCCCAGCCGCCCACCGCGCAGAGCCAGCGCCCGCCCAGCGCCGCCGCGTCGTGGTGGCTGCGCCTCGGGCCGCCCCGCGCCCCCACCCGCTCGGCCTGGCCCTCCGCCGGGTCCCAGACCACCGTGTCGCCGCTCGGCTCCGTGGCCCCTCCGGCCAGGAGGCCCCCCACCAGATACAGCCGACCCCGCAGTTCGGTGCACGAGTGGAAGGCCCGCGCCAGAAGCGCGTCCCGGGCCGCCGGCCGCCAGGTCCAGCGCGGGGCCCCCGCCATGGGCTCCCGCACGGCCCGAGCTTGCAGCCGGTTTCGCTTCCTCCGCCGTCGCCCAGCAACCACCGCCGCGGCCGCAGAGCGTCCGCGCCGCAAACGGTAGGTCGCAAAGCGCCGGTGCCGCGGCGACGGGAGCTGTGCGAGGGGAGTGACAGTCCTGGACGCGGTGCCGCCCACGGGGGACAGCGGCTCCGCAGGAGGACCCGCCCCCGGGGGCGAGCGGCCGAGTGGTGGCGCTGGAGGCGGGGCGGGGCCCCTCCCGGCCGCTGGGGGGCAGCAGAGCCCCGGCTCTGGGGCTCGCGGTCACACAGGTGCTGGTCTCCTGGTCTCGGGGCTCGGCCGGAGTTTCTCCTGATGAGGTCCAGGGGAGCTGCCCGGCCTTAGGGGCTGGATGGGGCGAAGGGAGAAAACAGCCCCCCCGGTGTCTCTGATTCAGGACAGGCCCCCGAGCTGCTTCTCACCTGTCCCCCGACCCAGCGAAGAACGAAGAGGCCCAGATCCCGCCCGCTTGCAGCCACAGCAGGATTTCTGCGCCCGCACAGCTGCTGGGACCGAGCAGGACTTGTGCCCCGGGCCCGGCTGTACACGGGGTGATGACTGCTGCCTTTGCCTCTGGTTTCTGCAGATCAGCTTGATTTCCGTCCTGCCCACGCAGGTGACATCAGAAAGGGTGGCCAGGGCTGCCCAGGGACCTCTGCCAGCACAGCACGGCTTTGCCCCCCTGACCCCAACTCTCCACGGAAAGTAGCAGGTATGGGGGTATGGGCAGGAAGGCACAGCTGGGGAGCCTGGGAGGTTACCGGGACTTTCCCCCATTTGAACCTCAAAGCTGAGACTCAGTAATAGCGTTGAAAGTCTCTGCCCCCCCCCCCCCACTGTTGCTTTCCACGGGTGATATGGAGGATTCTGTTTTCCCAGTTCAAGACAGACATCTCTGATAAATCACTAACTTCCCATGTGCTTGGCTGCAGTCCGAAGACCAGTCTTCTCCCTAAGGCTTGTGATTGACCTTCCAGCAGCTGGATTTGATCTGTCGCTGTCCTAGGATTCAGGGGAGGGAGGAGCTGGGGGGGGAGGGGTCATTTTGCTTACATTTTATTGGCCTGTTTTGGGTTCTTACCTTTGCTTAAGTCTTTGGCTGTTCTTTCTGCCAGACTCATTTTCTGCCTCTCCTGGAAAGAACAGGGAACTCCCTACCCTAAGGGCCTTTCTGGCTCCTGGCTCCCAGCTTCCGCAGTGACTCCCAGTCTGCAGCAGCTGGCCTCTTGGACCGGGAGCCCAAACTTCACACACCCCTGGGGGCGGCCCTTCTGGTTGCTGGCGGCAGCCTCCAGTGTTGCAGCTCTCCCCCTGGGTAGGCTGAAGCGAGCTTGTGTTTTAGAGGAGGCAGGGAAAAATCCAGGTTGAAAAGAAAGAAGAAAAGAGAGAAAAAGGAAACAGACCAGCCCACACTTGTATGACACACAGTTTCCACCCCAGGGCAGCCTCTCTAGTGTCCTGTCAGTGACGCGGACACCGAAGGGCATTGGGTAATGGGAGAGGAAGAGCTGTGAGGTGGGGAGGGGCAGCAACGCTCCTCTCCTCGGGCCCAGCTCCCACCTGCTAGCGATATCCAGGCGTGGGGGTGGCGCAGGTCATCCTGAAAGTCTCCTAATCCAACGTGGCCCTACGAGGTGGTTGCAGTTGCCCTTTTCTGGCAAGGATCCCTACAGCCCAGCTTCCCCAGACTTCGTCTGGTCTGTCCAAACCCCACATCTATGCTTCCTGGTCTCAAACCATCACAACACTCTTAGTCTTTCTCCTTGTCCTAACCTCATTTTCTGACCAAACCATCCGTGGTTCTCAGCATTGTTCAGTACACACGGCCAACAAGGGGACCCTAGGGGTCTCAGTCACTGGAGATCCCCGCAGTGCCCTCTCCCACCCTTCCTACCCTTTCTCTGGCTCTTCCTCTTCCTCGACCCTTCTACATTTTTCCCACAGCTCATTCTGGCCAGCTGACACTTGGCCCCATGCCTGCGTGCCCCCAGTTCTGGCTGTCCACTCTCAGCTCAGCCAGAATACAGACATGACCAAACAGAAGGATTGGAATGACGGTAAGCGGCCAGCTCTTGAGCATCCCTCTGAGAAGTGAGCTGGGAGGAACTGGAGAGAGGTGGACAGGTAGGGACACTTGGGAGCAGAGAATCAGGTGAGTTAGAGAATGATGGCGAAATGGGACGAGGATGGAAAAGAACTTGAATCTTTGAAGGACTCGACGTTACTGAGTAGGAAAGTATCACTGAGTCACTGTTGAGTGGTCCAAGTTGAGGGCCCAGGAGGGGGCAAGGAGGCCTCCAGAAATCCCTCCTTAGTTTTTGTCGTGTTTTTTTGTTTTGTCTTTGCACCTTTGTCTCTGAATTACTGCTGTTCAATAACACTGTGAGTCTCTGTCTCCCTGGGCCTGGGGACCTGTCTCTCACCATTTCTGCCTTTGTGTTTCTCTCTCTGGGGCTGCCCTTTTCTCTCTCTCCGTCTCTCTGTGATGGAGAACAGAACCAACCCTCTGACTTCCCTGCAAGGAGCTTTGGAACTCAGGAGTGGCCAGGCTTCGCCCCTCAGCCGTGTTCTGGAGCTGTGGGACCAGTGGCCTGGGCACGGGCACAGGGTCCTGATGGCTGCCGAAGAGCTGAGTGAGCCTCAGCATACAGGCCTTCCCAGGCAGGAGGATTTCCCCACAGAAGACAGAGCATGGAGGCCTGGGCCCAGGGGGAGGGAGCAGGCCGGCGCAGGGAGGGGGCCACAGCTGCTCCTCTGTCCTTTCATTGGGCCACAGTCAGTGCTCCCTGATCTTCCGAGCACCGGTGAGGGACCCTTGCTGTTTCCTGATCTCAGACCTTTTTATGCCACTTCTAAAATTGCAGGGGAAACTGAAGGCTTCAAGGTGAGCCTGGAGGGAATTTCTAGGGGTTCCTGAGAGGAAGGGGTGATATACATCTGGGGGGGCTGCTCGTCTCGCTTCCACCCCTGCTCCTCCCACAGGCTGGGCCTTTGCGGCTCCAGCCTCAGGTCAGAGGCTCCCACCTCACTGTCTCTGGGAAACAGCTGCAGGTCAGGGTCTAAGTCTCCAAGGCTGAGAACCAGTCCTCCTGCCGAAGGGCCTTCTGGTGTCCCAGGACCAGGCAGCGAGCGAGCCAGGGCCCCCGGGACAAGGGCCTCTGCATCAGGCAGCTGCACCGTGCTCAGTGAGCACTGAGGTGGGAAGAGGTAGGACTGCAGGGCTGGGTGGGGAGAGAAGGAGAGAATAAGGGTTCACAGGGTGAGAGGAGGCTTACCCTGACAAACTTCAGAAGAAAATCTGCCCTTGCCCTGGCCGGTTTGGCTCAGCAGTAAGAGCCTTCTCCCAAGAGTCTCGGGTTTGATTCCAGCCCGGTTGGGGTCATGTGGGTGGCAACCAATTGATGTGTCTCTCTCACATCGATGTTTCTCTCTCTCTCGTCCCCCCTTCCTCCCTCTCGTCCTATCTGAAGATAAATGTAAAAATATTCTCGGGTGAGGATAAAAAAGAAAAAAGAAAATCTGCCCTCAAATGACAGGACTCCTTAGTGCCTGTCAGTCCCTCCAGCAGCCCCCTCCCCTGGGCTCCTTCTCGCTCTCCGTCCCATGTTCTGCTGGGCAGCTGTCCCACCCCCAGTGCTGGTGCAGGGGTGATGCTTAGTCACAGAGCCTCAGGAGGCTTCCCCTGGGGCAGCCCATTAGGTGGTGGCAAGAGCTCAGGCTGACGGCCAGGCAGTGGCTCAGAGAGGGACCACAGCCCCAGCACCCACATGAGAAGCTCCCAAGGCCTAGTGCTGCCTGAAGATGGCCTGGGGTCGCAGGCTGCGCTGGCCCAGGGGCCCCTCCACGGTCCTGTCCATGTTCTCCTGCGAGGGGCCTGGCGGGTGTGTGGTCGGATGGAGACGGGAGCACAGCTTGGGGTCCCTCGGAGACGCCTTCTGCTCACTGGTGTCTCCTTGCTGCAGTCCCCACGGGGAGGCTGATTCTGTGAGGGCTCCTGCTCTCGTCCTGCAGCAGCCAGGACCGATCTCCAGAGCCTTCTATTGATTTTTTTTTTTTACAGAGAGAGGAAGGGAGAGAGACACAGAAACACTGATGTGAGAGAGAAACATCCATGGCTGCTTCCCGCACGCCCCCCACTGGGGATCCAGCCCACAACCCAGGCATGTGCCCTGACGGGAAATCGAATTGGGTCCTCTCAGTCCATGGGACTATGCTTAGTCCACTGAGCCACACTGGCTGGGCTCCAGTGCCCACCCAGACACAGGGCCAAGGAATAAAGGCATCTGCCTCGCACCTCATGTTCGTGTATTTATAGAAGGTAGAGCTGGGCGGTGAGCGAGGGGGCTGTGCACACAGCCACCTACTAAGAAGGTCCAGATGTGCGTGTGTCCAGCCACCCCCTGCCCCAGTGGCTCTCCCCAGCTTCAGGTTGGGGTCCAGCAGATCAACCCCCTGAGCTCTCAGGGACGCTGTCAGGCAACCAGGGAGTGTGGTTGTCATGAAGGGACGGGGCTGGGCTCGGGGGTCAGGGGCCTGCAGGCCAGGCAGACAGGGACAGCACCGCACGTGCAGCGTGTGGCTGGGACCCTGTGGAAACCAGGACACATCCCGACACTGGGCAGAGACGCAGCGGTGAAGGAGGGAACAGGTGTTTCCAGGAGGAAAGATCCCTGCTCTGCGCGGCCCCTCCCCCTCCGCGGTGAGGAGCATCTAGGGAGCGGTAGGAGGTGGCCTGGGGGATGGAAGCGAGTCCCACGTTGCTCCTCTTCCACCAGTGTCAGTCCGCACCCCAACACCTTCCTGAACAAAGTGCAGAAACTAAGGCAACGAGCAGAGCCGGACGGAAACGGGCTGAAGGCGCCTGGTCCACGCCCACGCTCCAGCGGGTTCCACTCGGATTTATCACCCACTCCTGCCTCTCCCCAGCCAGTGTCCCTCATCCTCTGACTCCGACCTGGGATCTCACCGCAGACAAACAGGACATTACTCACTGCAGGTCTCTCATCTGCCCCCGGCCCACCCGCCCGCCCGCCCACGGCCTGACCCTCACTCTCACTCCTCACCCCACACCACCCCACCCATCCCTGGCCCTGCCTGACTCACCTCCAGGTCCCATTGACACAAACAAAATTTCAGCACAACCCACTCCAACCGGTTTGGCTCAGGTGTGCGGCGGCCACGGGACAGGCGGGCTGCAGGCGGTGCTGGGAGGCGGCAGGGGGTGAGCGCCGCGCATCTGTGCACCCGCGGCCGGGACACGCGGGGACTGCGCAGCGGGGCACCGAGCGGCTCTGACTGTTCCCGTCTCTGCTGCTGGAGGGCGCAGGAGGGCAGGGCCCAGGCTGCAGGCTCCTCTCTGCCCCTCGCTGGGCTGGCGCCCGGGGCTCACTGCCTGTCAGTGGAATGAACTCAGGCACGCAGAGAGGCTGCTCAGACAAACCTTCCAGCTAAAGAGGCCACCTGGGCTTGAACTGTTCCCATTCTTAGGACCCAGAATGTGGGTGGGAGGAGGGTAGGTAGTGAGGCATGAGGGGAGTGGGGGTTCAATGAGGAAGGAAGAACAGACTCAGGGGACCAGGCATGGTCTGGAAGATCCTCCCCAACCACTATTTCCTTGCAGCCCGTACCCTGGATCTGCCTTCCGCAGGCGCAGAGGGGAGCAGGGGCCTGAGTGTGAGGGTGTGTCCCCGAGAGCAAGGCCCTGAGAGGGCATTGCAGGGGGGGGGGGACGGGGCGGGGGGAGATGGTGGGGGGAGACTTGCAGGGAGGTACTTGATCGAGGAGGGAAGGAAAGACCCCTGCTCAGGCAAGGCCACCTCTAGTGGCCTGAGCACTCAGGACCTTCCATGAAAAAATGGTGCTCTGTCCTGGCCTTAACATCACCTGGAAAGTCCTGCCTCCACTCGCTGTCCCGTGTGGAGTTGGGGTGCGCTGTGTGTGGGGGGTATGTTGTGAATGGGGAAACGAGGAGGTACAGGGACCGGATACCCACCTTGTGATCAGACTGCTTTCTCACCCATGCCTCAGTTTCCCTGTGGTTTCCCGGACCAGGAGGGGTGAGCCCGTGGGAAGGAGAAGAACTCCTCTGAAACCGTGCGATAGGATCCAACGTGTGATAATTATAATTATAACACAGGATGTTCCCCTCCCATCCCCCCGGCCCTACCCCCCCTGCCACTGTGCATCTCAAAGCAGCATCAGGGTGGGGCCGCTCTCACCCCTAACCCCGAGTCTAGCCTGAACCCCGAGGAAGGGAAGGGGCTCTCCGAGGGCAACACAGAGAGATTGGGGAGTTTTGGCCTCCAGCCTGGCCCTTGGCGCCCTTGAAGAAGAGGTCACTGCCGTGGTCATTGCTGAGAGCTGGGATCTAGAGCCAGAATGGGGTCATGGCCCCGAGGCAGGGTCACAGTCTGGGTCACTCCCCGGGTACATACTGACACGGCTTCATTCATGAATTCATGCCGGAACGAAGATGCACCCATTACGCGCTGTGGACTGTCCCGGCGTGGATGACAGACGGCCAAGACCCGCCCGGCTCTCAGGGAGTTCACAGGCTGCTCTCATCCTGTCCCTCAATTCACACATTTGCTGACTCCCTGCACACAGCAAGCTTCAATCGGTGTTACTGGAGTGGACGCTTACAATTTTGCTAAAGAGATAAGATGCGCACAAATTACGAGGACACAGACTATAATAAAGGGCCTGGCAGAGGCCGAGGAGGGAGGGGGCAGACAGTGTACATCAAGATTGCCCTTGTCCGGTGTCAGGAGATAAACGGGGGCAGTGACCATGGAGGTGGTGGGAAGGGACCCCTTGCACTTCGGGGACTCCTGGCCAAGTAACAAGCAAGCCTGAGGCCAAGAGAAGGCGCTGTTGGGGAGGCCAGGAGTCTTTGGGGCTAATTCCTTGTCAATCCTTGAGGATCTCCTACAAATGGGTGGAGGCCGGGGGGGGGGGGGGTCACTTTAATGCCTTCTTGAGTCTTTGAACTAGCTCCCTACCTTGGGGATGGAGGTGTCTGAGCAGACCCTGGGAAGTCCCCCAGCAAAGCCCCTTCCCCTCTCCAGGTCTCTTCTCATCTGAGCGATGAGTGTGGGGCCGGCACGCCCCTCAGTTCTGCCCTTCCCTGATTCTGCGGCTCCGAGCTGAGCCCTCCAGGAGACTGGGGACTTGCCAAGGCCCAGGAAGGCTGCAAGGCTGGCAGGGTGCGGGATGCTTAGGTTCCTTTCCACCCACAGGCCTTGCCCTATTCCTCCTGGCCTGGTGCCTCCCTCCTTGAGCCACCTGGGCCTTCTCCTGCCTGCCCCGCCCACCCTCCACCTTGCTTCTCTTCAGCCCCTTCCACACTGTCAGGTGAGGCCTGGAGCTGATGATGGGATCCCACCCCCGGTCCTGCCCTCCCTCCCCAGCGCCCACAGCGAGCCCAGGCCATGGGGGCGGCGGCTGCAAGTCTCTGTGCCAGGCCCAGCCCCCAGAGACGCACCTGTTCTGACCTGCTGAGCAGGTTCCCGGTTTCTGCCGTAGCTGTTGGCCACGGCGTGGGAAGCAGCTCTGGGGAGCTCGGAACTCCGATCACCGCTTCTCGCTTCTGGGGCGGCTGCGGCTGGGTGGGCCAGGTCCCCTAGCGGGAGCCCCAGAGGGACAGGCGGTCCATCAGTGCCTGAGGACCCTGTGACCTCCTCCTGCCTTTGGGTTGGTGCTCTCTCCAGCTCTAGAGCCGGCTCCCAGGGAGAACTCGGTGGAACTTCTGAACACTGGGCAGCTCTTCATTTGGACCAATGCCCCTGTCCCTGGGAGCCGACATGTGGGGGCCTGAGGCCTGGCTGCTGCTGCTGCTCCTGGTATCACTTACAGGTAGGCCTTCCTGAACCCCGGGGACCCTCGCTTCCGAGCCCAAGTCGAGCGCGCTCTCTCTCTCTGCCCCCCTCTCCCTCTGTCTCTCCTATGAGGCTGGACTGAGGACCCATCTCCCTCCCACCCCAGCTGCCAGTCAGAGGAGTTCTTCCCTTCATGTCCCTCCTGCCCGGGCCAGGTCACTATGTCTGGGGACCCTGACTACTGCTGCCAAAGCCTTGGCAAGGCCAGAGCTACCTCTGAGAGAAGAGATGAGGTGGCCAGGGCAGGGGGGCAGGGGGGCAGGGGGGCGAGCCTGGAGAGGACCCTCCCCCCAGGGTCTCGGGAGGGGCCCTCACCTCCCCGCTGAGCTCGGGACTGCTGACTGGCTCTGAGCTGAGTCAGGGCTGAGCCGGTTTTCTCAATCACCGGGACGTGGGAAGCCTGATGCCCAGAGAATGGACAGGGTGCCTCTTTCTCCTTCTCCACGATGTCCGAGAGTCCCAGGACCAGGCTCCTGTTGGGGGCTATGGCCTGTCTCTTTCCTTGGACACATTGCTAGATGCCAGGGTGGTAATGAGGTGATTACTCAGATGAGTTGGGGTGTAGGGCAGGGTGCCTTCTAGCTAGGTGTGGTCCCTTGTGTTCATCCCTTGTCCCCCATTTTCTCAGATGCCTTGATTTCTGCTGTCTAATCTCTATAAGCAGATGTGAGTCCTGGGAATGTCAAGTCTGCAGGGGGTGGAGTGCGTGTGCGTATGCGCCGAGAGGCCGCCGTGGCATGTGTGGCCGCTGTGGCATGTGTGGCCGTCATGGCATCTGTGGCTGTGCCCTGGGTGGTAAATAACTGCGACACCCTTTCCTCTGGAGCGTGGGGACCTGTCTGCGTAGGACAGCACGGCTCAGTCCCAGGAGCAGCAGTGCAGCCTGGTTGTCCCACAGGACCCAGCAGTGTGTCCCGCCTCGTCCCCAGCCGAAGCTGTCAGGACTGTGAGGCCTGGATGTGTGGATGGTGGGACTGCTCTCCTTTGATGTTAAAATGGAAGGGTCATTGGCCCAACCTCCAGTCAAGGGGCACTGAGCTCCCACCCCTCCCACCCCCTGCCCCCCACATCTTCATTCCCACTTTCCAGACAGCCCTTCTGACTTGCTCAGGCTAAGAAGGTGGGGCCTGGTTGCTGAGCCAGGCAGCTTGGCAGCCACTTCCTGGCAGGATTGACCCACACCTCAGGAACGGAGTCACCGTGTCTCAGGACTTGGGCAGGATCAAAGAGATCACAGCTCCAGCTCCCTCTGTACTGGAGAAGCAGATGGGCCAGTGGGACCTGCAAGTCTCCAAGTGCTAGAAGCACCCCTGGGGTTAGTGTTGGTCTCCTGCCTCCACGGTCATTAAGGACAGATGTCTGAGTGGGGCAGTTGTGAAACAGACAGGGTCCCTGCTACCTTTTCCCACAACACAGAGCAGTTCTTTCTAAGAGAAACCCAGGGAAGGGGAGAGGAGGCCCTTCCAGCCAGGGCATCACCTTGCCCTTATTCAGTGTCCAACAGACAGGGTGCCTGACAGACGGGTGCCCGACAGACAGGGTGCCTGACAGACGGGTGCCTGACAGACGGGTGCCTGACAGACAGGGTGCCCAGCGGACAGGATGCCCGACAGACAGGGTGCCCAGCGGACAGGGATGTGCATAGGGAGGCAGCCTGCCTGCAGGACGCCCAGGAGCTGGTGCTCAGGGAGCCGTCACAATTCAGTTGCTGCTGCTGCCACCTGCTCGGGGCTGGAGGGTGCTCTGCGAGCGGGGTGCAGACCTCAGGTTCCCCACCGAGGATCAGCTGGGTCTACCCCCATGGCCCCTGCCCCCCACCCCCCACCCCAGCTTCTCTATGTTTAGGTACCTCCTCAACAGCTCCCAGGAAGTTTCTTATGTCTGAAAAAGCCTTGGACTGAGGAAACCAGAGCCTTGGGTTCTGGTCCATTTCCACTTTCAATTTGTTAGGTGACCTTGGCAACTAAGAAACTAGACTTCAGTGGACCAAGAGGTGGGACCAGGTAGTCCGTGGCTTTCCAGCTCTGAGGTGCTGTCTTTGTGAGTGTCCAGGCCCAACCCGGGGTGCTGAGCCCTGGGCCAGGCGGGCAGTCTGGCTGAGGTGATAAAAAGGGGATGGTCCCGGCTGAATCTCTGGGTGGGGAGGGAGCAAGGTTAGCTTTACCCTGGACACTGCCTTCTGCCCCTGCATATCAGGGCCCCCAGCAGCTCCAGCCCCAGGCCCTGCCCCACCCCGACAGGGAGCGGAGCAGGCTGGGGAGGCGCCTGAGCCACAGCTCTTTGTTTCTCTTTAATGGGATGAGTTTCCGCGTGAGGTCCCCTCCCTTCCCCGCCCCCACCTCCTGCCCTGGGCCTGAGGGGCCCAAGACTACCGACTCCCCTCTAGGAGGAGCCTCTCCCTCTGTGCCCCTCTGGCGGGAGCAGAGGGCGAGGGGTCCTCTGAATTCTGAGGTCCCTCCTCTGAAGGTCAGGATCGGCTTTTTGTCTGAGGTTGGTTTCCTAGAAAGGGAGGGGCCCGTCCCTGCTTTTCTACCCCTGTTTACAGGGGGCAGGTCCTTTCCTGTAGGATGTACCCACACCCAGGGAAGCCAGAAAGGGGGGCTGCTTCCCTGCCTATGGTAGGAGGCCCAGGTGACCCGGGGAAGCCCTGTGGTCCCAGTGACCTCAGTCCTACCCTGAGTTTCAGGGGCTGTGCTAGGGGACCCTAGCCACAGAGATGGCAGTGAGGGGCTCACATGGCCCCGGCCTCCAGACTGCAGCCTTGAGACCCCGGGAACCCCCAGGCACAGCCTTGAGACCCGGGGGGACAAGCTTCTTCAGGAGAGATTGCCCGTGCATCCCGGCCTGGGAAACACGCCCTTTCTGCGGAAGGTCTGGGCAGAGAGGAGGGAAGGCCCAGTGGAAGCTGAGTCAGGAGGGAAGGAGAGGAGCCCAGTGGCTGGATTTGGGAACAGAAGCGAAATGAGTGCTCGCATCGGTGGCACACACACGAACACGGGGCCCGTGGATGAGGAGGTGGCCCGGGATGCCACGCACACCTGTGAAGTGTTCCATATCTTAAAAAAGAAAGAAAGAAAAGAAAATGAGAAGGCGATGCTCAGACGGGGCACCGGCCCCTGGAGGAGGGTTGTGAGGGGGATCCCTCTCACTGGGTCGGAGCCTGCGCCCGGCCTTTCCCATAGTTCTCTGCCCCTCCCCCACCGGCCTTTAAAGCTGGTGTGTGCTGAGGGCTGAGTTGAGTCTGTGATTTGGGGTGGGGCAGAGCTGGCCACACTCAAGGGGGTGGATGGCAGGATTTGGGGGGGCCAGATCTCAGGAGTTTGGGAGAAGCTGAATTCTGGGTCTCCCACCCACAGTGTGGCTGCTGCGGTGACTCAGCGGGGCTCAGACTGGCTCCGGGGGGCTTAGGGGACTTATGGGCGCTGGGAGCTGTGTCTGGGCCAGAGCCGCTGCCTCCCCGCCCTGCCCATTGTTCTCATCTCCATGCGGCTGGTGTGCCCCCCCAGACAGAATCGGTGGGTGGGCGCTTCGCCCAGGTTGGGAAGCGCTTGCTAAGCTGGGGGCTTAGGACTGTGGGGGTAAGCGAGGGAGGTGGTGAAGCCGGAAGCATCTCCTGGCTCTCGGAGTGCCCAGCACCCAGCGCCCGCTGCTCAAGGAAGGAGGGCTTGTTCCTGTTACTCCTCTGCCCTTTCTCACCCCCTCACCTGTGCCCGCCACTCCCTCCGGTGGAGGCTGCGGAGGGGCAGGGGTGACAGAGAGGCAGAGACCCTGGATGTCTTGGACCCCAGACAGATCCCCTTCCTCCAACCCACACAGACAGCCCTCACTGGGCGGCAGGGGCCAGAGCTGACTTTTCTGCTGGTGGCAGGGGAGGCTGACAGACGTTCCCAGGGAGAGGCCTCCTGGGGCCTGAGGTGCTGGGGCCCTGGGGAGTAGCTGGAGAGCGAGAAGGGGGAGCCTGGCAGGACCTGAGGAGCAGGAGTGGAGGAAGCTTTTGTTCAGTGTGTTGGGGAGCCCTTGATGGCAACTTCCCATCACCCGAGGGGTGACCTCATCTGTGGGTCCCTCCACCTGAGAGAACTCTGCTGTCCCGTCTGTGGTGAGGTGCGAGGGCAGCCCCAGTGGCAGGCACTGCAGCTGGACAGAGCCACCCCGTGACCACAGGCAGCTGAGACAGAGACACCAAGGGGCCCACAGCCAAACGCCCCATGGGCAGTGTCCGAGGCGTGGCGAGGTGCACACGCGGTCACACACTCTGTGGCGCTGTTCCCGGACGCAGACAGGCACACGCACCCACTGAAGGTGAGGCGTGAACACTCGAAGTCTGACACACCCCTTCACGCGAGGAGACAGCTTCGCAACCGCAGCCAGGCCCCCACCCAAAGCTGCACCAAAGTGTCCTCCTTCCTCTTTCTCGCGGACCCTCCGTGTGCTTGCAGGGGGTGCTGACGAGGAAAGACCCCCATAAGGAGGAGCCTCCTTCCCCAGAGACGCTATCTGTGGTTGCCAGCCTCAGTTTCCCCTCCAAGACCACAGGCCAGGCCTCACACACACAGGAAAGTTGGGACCCAGGCTCAGGGTGGGAGCAGCCAGCCAGCCCCAGCCAGGAATGGAGGGCCTGTCTGGGAGCTGGTGGCCTGGCGGCCTGGCCAGGGGTGGGGGAGGCCAAGGGCAGGGATCCTGTCTGGCCAGTTGGGCCTGTTCTTTCCCTTGTGCAAGGTGGCGGCTGGTGGTGGCTGCAGCTCCGCAGCAAGTCTGAATCACCAGGCTCCTGACCAGCGTCCTGGGGCTCGGGCGGAGGGCTGGGAGGGTCCGAGAGAGCAGAGCCAGTCAGCAGAGTCCGCCAGCCTCGGCAAACAGTCTGCAGAAGGGTCGTGGGCTTGGCCTGGCTACTGCCTGCAGTGACCTCACCGGGCAGGTGGTGTGTCTGCTCTGCTCTGGTGACATCATGCTGATGCCAAGTAGACACTGCGGGGGGCGGGGGGCAGTGCTGGCTACTGTGGACGGGGAGTCTGTGCTCTGCTTCCATTCGAGCCCGTGTTCTCTCCACTAAACACTGGGTTTAAGACAACGGGGGCTGTAGAAGAAGTCAAGAAGGGACTTTCGCTGAGCAGGTGCGGCTCAGTGGACTGAGCGTGGTCACATGGACTGAGAGGTCCTGGTTTGATTCCTGCTCAAGGCACATGCTTGGGGTTGCGGGTTTGATCCCCAGTGTGGGGCGTGCAGGAGGCAGCTGATCGATGTTTCCTCTCATCGACGTTCCTATCTCTCTCTTCTTCTCTCTCTAAAGAAATCAATAAAAACATTAAAAGAAAAGAAAGAAGGGGTTTTCCTGTGTTCCTGGGTGTCTCTGTGCAAGGCCCAGGCTGGTCACAGGCAGGGGTGTGGGCACTGGACCCGGGCACGTGCTGGGCACACAGTGCCTGTTGGGCCCTGAGAAGGTTTTTGGGGGAAACGTGGGTGATTACAGGAGGGGTACAGGTGGTTGGCAAGTGTAAGGATGTGAATGAAAAATATGCCTCTAGCTGGTTTTCCCAGCGGTTAGAGCACTGGCCCACAGACTGAAGAGTCTCGGGTTCAATTCCCAGGCAAGGGCACATACCTCGGTTTCGGGTTCAATCCCAGGCCCCAGTGGGGGTCATGCAGGAGGCACCAATTGATGTGTCTCTCTCACATCAATGTTTTTCTCTCTCCCCCCCACTCCCTCCCTCCCACTCTATCTAAAACTATCAGTGGAAAATGGAAAAATACCCTTGAGTAAGGATTTTTTTAAAAGGAGAAAAATATGCCGTTGACCCTGTCCCAGAAATAGTCTCTGGAAGGGTGTCAGTGTCCGGCTGGCCTGCACAGATGGCCGTCCTGCCCCTCCGGTGCCAAGAGGACGTGTCTGGGAGGGGCACAGGTGGTTAGCTGGACTCCGGGGCTGGGCTGGGTGGGACCAATATCAGCCCAGGCAGCTCAGGGCCCTGGCATCCGGCCCTGCAGGTCTGTCTCGTCCCTTTCAGGCCCTCCCAGCTCCCAACAGCATCCTCCCTCCCTCCCCACTACAAGCTGCAGGACCCCTCCCTCTGCCCCAGGCTCTGCCTCACTGGAACCCTCTGATCCACTGTAGTGGGGCTTCTCTGCTCCTCATTCTCCCTTTGCAGCAAACCCAGCTACCCAGTCTGCCCTGCCTACACCCCAAGGTTGGCAAGGTCGCCATGCCCACCCCTCCCTGCCGCAGACTGGTTATTCCTCCTTGGTCCACCCTGTCCACCTTCTGCCTGTCGCACGTCCACGCTCTCATCCCTCACTCATCCGCGTGCAGGAACGCAGACCCCAAGCTCCTGAGAAGCCCTGAATCAGACGCCAGGAGCCTCCGTTTCTACTCCGAGGAGCTCAGTCTGGTGGGAGAGGCCGATGCGACCCCTGGGATGCAGTGCTGTGCAGGGGGGTCAGAGCAGGCTGCCTGAGGCGAGGCGGGTGAGCAGGTCCGCCAGACAGGGAGGAAAGGAGGGTGCCCGGCAGGGCCCTGTGAACCCGTGCTGGGCCTCAGCAACGTGCAGTGTTCGTCTTTCGTCTCTCTGCTCGGTGACCAAATCCTCCAGAACTTCCCCAAGGGATCATCCCTTCCTCTGCATCCGGCAGCCCCATGTGGGGCTGCAGCTACAGGCTCCTAGGTTCAGGCTCCCTACTTTCCAGTCAGAGGGCACAGCACCCTGCCTCCTGCATCGAGGACTCCCATGTCCTCGTGACCAAATCTGCGCCCTCTGCCTAAGGTGGAAGGTCCCGGGTGACTTGGCTTCAACCACAGGCTCCATGTCTGCTCCAGACGCACCTGCCTTAGCTGCCCTCTCCTCTCTGCTTCCGGAACCACCGGCCTCCCCCTGCATCTGGTCCCTCAGCAACTGGCCTGCAGTGCATCCCCCGGGGGCCATGTGTGTCTCCACGTGTACTGACCTCACGGCTCATGAGGGCAGCAAAGGGCCCTTCTTTGCAAGTGGGGCTGTAGGAGAGCCTCTGTGTGCCTCCCACTGCTCCTGGGGCGCACGGACACTCACTGTGCTGACTCCGTCACTGGTGCCTGCCCTGACCTCTGCCCCAGCCTTTGACCTTCAGCCTTCCTGTGTTCAGTGACTTGTTCTTCCTGGCTGGGAGCCTGGGTTCTCGCCCTCCCTCCCACATACAACAGAATTCTGTCTGGGAATCCAGGTCTCTCATCTTCAAGCCATGAAAAGAATGTCCTGAAGTGTCACCTGGGACGGACCCTGCCACACAGGCGGGCTCTGGCCCCTGCCTTGGCTCGGGGAAGCCTTCTCCCAGGCGGGACAGGCCTGTCTGTGGCCTCCCCTGGTCTTTGCATTTAGAACCCCTGGAGGACCTTAGCCCCTGCAGCAGCAGCTGGCTCTCCTCCCTCACAGCCGCCCACGGGCTTGCCAGGGTAGTCCTGGGCTGGGAGAGGTGTGCCCCTTCCACACCTCTGCGGGCCTTCAGCCGACGACTTCCTCCCTGGGTCTCAGTTTCCTCAGCGCCTGCCTCTTGGGAACGGTCGTGGATGCGATGGGGTACTGGCCCGAAGAGCTCCCCTGATGCTCTTGGGAGTGTCCCCGCCCTGGCAGCGCCCCAATCCTGCCTGCTCTGTCTTCCCCTGCAGGCCGCTGCCCGGCGGGGGAGCTGGAGACGGCCGACCTGGTGACTGTGGTGCTGGGCCAGGACGCTCGGCTGCCCTGCTTCTACCGAGGGGATCCCGGCGAGCAGGTGGCGCAAGTGGCCTGGGCTCGCGTGGACGCGGCCGCGGCCGAGGGCGCCCGGGAGCTGGCGCTGCTGCACTCCCAGTACGGGCTGCACGTGAACCCGGCCTACGAGGGCCGCGTGGAGCAGCCGCCACCCCCGCGCAGCCCCCTGGACGGCGCCGTGCTGCTGCGGAACGCGGTGCAGGCGGACGAGGGCCGGTACGAGTGTCGCGTCAGCACCTTCCCCGCCGGCAGCTTCCAGGCGCAGCTGCGGCTCCGCGTGCTGGGTAAGCGGCTGAGCGCAGAGCCTGGGTCCAGGCCCGGGGTGGGGGCAGGGGCCGCGGGGCCACGCAGGGGTGGGGGCAGGGGCCGGCCGGGGCAGAGGGGCTGCTGTGGAGGTAAGAGAGCCTGGCGCAGCCACCCCCAGCAACCCAGAAATTCTCTCCGCGTGACCACAGCTGGCTCAGCCCTGGGGAAGAACCCGTTTATTACAGTTCTTCCTCCCGTCGACTTGAACTCTTCCTCTTGGTTTCTCTCGCCCTTTGGGGTGACGGGGCGCAGCTAGTTCTCTCTCACCCGTGTCCTCTGCTCTCTGCTTCCTGAACCAGCCAGCACCCCTCCCCCCGTTGCCCTCCTGGTCCCTCACCTGGAATGGACCCCCCATCCTACGCGCTCACGCATGGGGCCTCCCACATGACTTGGGTGCAAGTGACTGTCCAGCAGCCACATTTCCAAGGGCTGAGGACCTTCCTCCTGCCCCACCTGACTCTCTTCTCCAAGTTGAACTCACTGGTTTTCACAACAGCTCTCCCAGAGACACTCATTCAAAGCCTCGCTCCACACATGGGCTCCTCGTGGGCCGAGATGGGGCCGTGCGGGCCCAGGTGCCAGCAGGCCCAGGCGGGGCTGGCCTCTCTCGATCTGGACCTTCAGTGAGTGTGGTCAGGAACCACAATTGCCCTTTAAATCACTGCTTTGCACTGTGGGCACATGTGGTCAGGTTGAGTCTTATCCATTCTGTGCTGGTCTGTTAGTGTGATGAAGATAAAAAAGGTCTTTATCATTTCCCTTTACCCACCAGCCTGTAGAAAAATGTCAGCACCTCACAGCTGATGATCTGGGACAAAACCTTTAACTTCCTGAGCCCCAGTCTCGTCACCTGTGACACAGGGTTAATAATGTCCAGTGTCTCTGGTTTGTTCACAGAACTGAATGAGATACGTTTGTAAAGTGTTTCTCATAGTACTTGGCACATAGTAAGTGCTTAATAAATGGTGCCTGTTATTATCATATATATATATATGTGTATATATATATATATGTATACATATATATGCTATCTGGTTAGTTTTTTAATTACTTCATTGTTTTCATTAAAAAACAATGACCCATGCCCTGGCCAGTTTGGCTCAGCAGTTGGAGTGTCGGCCTGCGGACCAGAGAGTCCCGGGTTCCTGCTAGGGGCACGTACCAAAAAAAAAAACCCAACAAAAGAAAACCTTAAGTGAAAAAAAAAAAATCACCCATGTTCATTGTAAGAAATGCAAACAATGGACAAAGATATAAAGTCAGATGAATTCTGCCACTCATTGATATCTTTCTTGGTAAAATAAGAGAAAAAGTGCGGGACTGAGCTGGGATGGGGCAGGGCCTCCTAACAGGTGGTGCAGACCCTGACCTCCCTCCCCTCCCCCATCCGCAGTGCCTCCCCTGCCCTCCCTGAACCCTGGCCCAGCACTGGAAGAGGGCCAGGGCCTGACACTGGCCGCCTCCTGCACAGCAGAGGGCAGCCCGGCCCCCAACGTGACCTGGGACACAGAGGTCAAGGGCACAGTGTCCAGCCGCTCCTTCAAGCACTCCCGCTCTGCAGCTGTCACTTCGGAGTTCCACCTGGTGCCCAGCCGCAGCATGAATGGGCAGCCACTTACCTGTGTGGTGTCCCACCCGGGCCTGCTCCAGGACCAGAGGATCACCCACACCCTGCATGTGGCCTGTGAGTCCTGGGACTTGGGTGGGAGCCCCATGGGCTTTGAGAGGGTTGGTGAGATGCTGAGAAACCCTGAGCCACACCAGTCAGGCCAGCCTGGGGCCGTGGCCACTGTCTGTGGCTGAGAGCACCAGTCTGAGAGGTGGAAGACCTGAATGGAGCCCACCCAGATGACCTTGGGCCTCTGACCTTCAGTGCCCTGCTCTTTACAAAGGCAGTTGCCCCGCTTCACAGGGTTGTTGGGAGAATTGCACATAAACTTTGAATGGAAAGAACTGGGTAAAATGTATAGGTTCTGAAGATAGACTTGGGACAAGCCTGAGCTCGGCTGTTTGCCAGCTGTCATTCAGTCTCATTGGGCTTTGTTTTCTTCCTTAGCAGAAGGAGCATGATTACACCAACTTCAGGATTCTGATAGGAATTAGGAACCAGAGTGCAAAGCATCTTGCAGGGGAGGTGCTCAGTGCAGGGGAGGTGCTCAGTGCAGGGGAGGGGAGGTGCTCAGGGGAAGGGAGGTGCTCAGTGCAGGGGAGGGGAGGTGTGCAGTGCAGGGGAAGTGCACAGGGGAGGGGAGGGGAGGTGCTCAGGGGAAGGGAGGTGCTCAGTGCAGGGGAGGGGAGGTGTGCAGTGCAGGGGAAGTGCACAGGGGAGGGGAGGGGAGGTGCTCAGTGCAGGGGAGGGGAGGTGTGCAGTGCAGGGGAGGTGCACAGGGGAGGGGAGGGGAGGTGCTCAGGGCAGAGAGATACTCAGTGGAGGAGAGGTGCTCAGTGCAGGGGTGGGGAGGTTCACAGTGCAGGGGAGGGGAGGTGCTCAGTGCAGGGGAGGTGCTCAGGGGAGGGGAGGTGCACAGTGCAGGGGAGGGAAGGGGAGGTGCTCAGGGGAGGAGAGGTGCTCAGTGCAGGGATGGGGAGGTGCACAGTGCAGGGGAGGGGAGGTGCACAGTGCAGGGGAGGGGAGGTGCTCAGGGAAGGGGAGGTACACAGTGCAGGGGTGGGGAGGTGCACAGTGCAGGGGAGGGGAGGTACACAGTGCAGGGGTGGGGAGGTACACAGTGCAGGGGTGGGGAGGTGCACAGTGCAGGGGAGAGGAGGTGCACAGTGAAGGGGAGGTACACAGTGCAGGGGTGGGGAGGTGCACAGTGCAGGGGTGGGGAGGTGCACAGTGCAGGGGAGGGGAGGGGTGCAGTGCAGGGGAGGGGAGGGGTGCAGTGCAGGGGAGGTGTTGGGGGGAGGTTTACAGTGCAGAGGAGAGTATGCAGTACAGGGGAGGTATGTGGGGGGTGCACAGGGGAGGGGGTGCACAAGGGAGGGGAGGGGGTACACATGGGAAGGGAGGGGAGGGGAAGTGCTCAGAGAATAGCAGGTGTTTCCCAGCATTAGATGTTGAGTCTCTGGGGAGAGAGGACTGTTTTCTACCTACTAACCCAGCACATGGCACGAAGTGGGTCTTCAGCAAGTGTTTGTTAAGGAAATGAATGAACTTGCAGGATTGTTTAGCTTCACAAGAATCAGGGAGCATTTACCAAGTACCAGCTCTGCTGGGCATCACGGGTCTGGGTGGGGGACTCGGAAAGAGTGACATGCGGGTATGCAGAGACACTAGGGACCTGCGAGCTGAGAGGGGAGGGAGCCGGTGGCCAGGCACTGCAGCCAGGTGGCTGGGCTGGCTTGGCACAGTGGGTAGGAAGGAGATGAGGGGCTTTCAGGCAGTGTGCCCCTGGGGTGGGGGCCGTGGGGGGCGAGATCAAAGCCACCATTCCCATTTCTTCTCCCACCTCCATCCCAGTCCTTGCTGAGGCCTCTGTGAGGGGCCTTGAAGACCAAAAGATGTGGCAGGTTGGCAGAGAGGGCGCTATGCTCACGTGCCTCAGTGAGGGGCAGCCCCCACCCTCCTACAACTGGACACGGTAAGGGCTTGGGACCAGGGTTCTTCTCTCGAAGGCCAGCAGTTATTCATTATGGGCTGGGACAACCTGTTCTGAGCCCCAGATCCACTGGGGTACAGGGTCAGACTGACACAGGAACACGCATGGTCACCAGGTGTTACTGGCTGGCACTTCAGACACAGGGACCTTGGACACACAACCTTTGTAGTGAACGAGCTAATAAAGACTCGGCCTTTGTTCTAGATTTCACATGATGACGTTTAATACAGCACTTAAATATTGATGTTTACATGTATGCAAGTTCCTGCAATGGACACAAGGATGCAGCTGATTGTAGCTGCTGTTAAACCAACACCCCCCTAGCCCTCCCTGGCGGTGCCAGCCCCTGGAAGCACCTGCCTCTGCCAGTCCCCACAGGGAGGGCTGGGCTTCTCCGGGGCCTGTGTCCAGGGCCGCCAGGAGGGTCGGGTGTGCAGCCTGCGCAGCGTTGTGGATGGGGCCCCGTCACTTTTTCCGAGTGCATCTGAGCCCAGAGGGAATGAAGTGTCCTGCAGTGCGGACTTCCTGACATGTGTGCCTGGTGCCCAGTGCTGGGTGGTGTGATGCCCGTGGGAGCGTGTGGGATGGCATGCACGTGTGTAGGGGGTGCCCGGGTCAGGCTGGGCGGCAGGGAGAAGGGGGCCTCTGCTGAGACCTGCCTGGGGGTGGGAGGGGCACCGTGGGAATAGCCTGCGGCTCTGGGTGACGGCATGGGGGAGGGCGGAGGAGCAAGGTCTGGGCATGTCGGGCAGTGGCGGCCTCAGCCCGCCCAGCCAGCACCCATCGGCTTCCCTGTCTTCCAGGCTGGACGGGCCTCTCCCGAGTGGGGTGCGTGTGGAAGGGGGCACCCTGGGCTTCCCCCCGCTGACCGCCGAGCACAGCGGCGTCTATGTTTGCCACATCAGCAACGCGCTGTCCTCGAGGGATTCCCGGGTCACTGTGGAGGTTCTTGGTGAGCTCTGGGGCAGACACAGGGTCCGGGGCCAAAGGTGTGGGCAGGGCCACAGGAGCAGGACAGAGCTGCGTGCACTGCAGAGGGCCTGCTGAGGGCTGGCCTGGGATGTGCTTTGTGAGAGCCGTGGAGGGCACCTGGGGCCCGAGCGTCGGCCTCACACAGCCGCCTGTGTCCAGCAGACCCAGAGGAGAGCTCAGGGAAGCAGGTGGACCTGGTGTCCGCCTCCGTGGTGGCAGTGGGTGTGATCGCTGCCCTCCTGTTCTGCCTCCTGGTGCTGGTGGTGGTGCTGATGTCCCGATACCATCGTCGCAAGGCCCAGCAGATGACGCAGAAATAGTGAGTACTGGCCGATCCTGGGCAGGGAGAGCTAAGCTGGGGACAAAGAGGAGGCGAGCAGCCGGGGGCCAGGACCAGGAGAGAGGGGACTGGGTGGTGACCTCTGGGGAGCCATGGGAAGTGAGAAGGAGCGTGGAGCCTGGACCACAGCTGACGAGAACCCGCTGCCTGCGTGAGGGCCGGATGCACTCGCCCAGGTGTCGCCAGGCACACGCATGCGCTCGGTGGCCACGCAGCCACCAGCGGCCACTCAGTCACACCTGCAGGCGCAGCACGGCAGCACAGCCCGTCTCACAGGCTGGCCCCTGGAGGCCACTGCTGCCCCCACTCCTGACAAAGGGTGTTTTTCCCAGCGAGGAGGAGCTGACCTTGACCAGGGAGAACTCTATCCGGAGGCTGCATTCCCATCACTCAGACCCCAGGAATCAGGTGTGTGCCCCTCTGCTGACCAGGAGCACAGCCCTCCACCGGGTCTGGCCACTGACTCACGCTGGGGCTTGGCTGGGGTACTGCTGGGGGGCATGGCTGCTTGGGTGTCCTGGGGTCCTCGGGAAGCCATGTCAGCGCTGAGCCCAGGGTGGGGTTGCAGCGGGGGTGGGACACGTACCCAGGAGAGGACGGTGTGGGGTTGGGGGTGTGGTGATCAGGGAGGAGGCTGGTGGAGGACAGAGGTGAAGAAGCCAAGCCCTGTCCTGATTCCTCCCCCCTGTCCGGGCCCTGCAGCCGGAGGAGAGTGTAGGGCTGAGAGCCGAGGGCCACCCTGATAGTCTCAAGGACAACAGTAGCTGCTCTGTGATGGTGAGGCCCCCGGCCCCACCGGTGTCCCCAACACTCTCCACAGGCTCCTGTCCTGTTTCCCACGTGGTGGGTCAGTGACCCCGCTTCCCTCTCACCTCAGCCTGGCTCAGGCTGCTCCGCCTTCCTCTTCAGCCCCACACCCGGCCCCACACCCGGCACCAGCTCCCAGCTCCTCCTCCAACCCCTGTGCCTCTGAGACAGTCACGACCCCTGGCTCCTGTCTACGCCTGACCTCTGACCCCACCTTGCCCCCCTGGCCCCTAGGGTGTGGCTGCCCTGTTGGTCTCTGACATGCCCTCCACCCTTGGCCTCCAGAGTGAAGAGCCAGAGGGTCGCAGCTACTCCACGCTGACCACAGTGAGGGAGATAGAGACCCAGACTGAGCTGCTGTCTCCGGGCTCCGAGCAGACGGAGGAGGAAGGCGACGAAGGCATCAAACAGGCCATGAACCACTTTGTCCAGGAGAATGGGACCCTGCGGGCCAGGCCCACAGGCAACGGCATCTACATCAACGGGCGGGGGCACCTGGTCTGACCCAGGCCCACCTCCCCGGAGCCTGGCTCCCTCTGCTGACATGGGGGCTTTCAGCTCATCTCGGGGGGCCCCCCAACGCCCCACTGACTGCTTGACCTTTTCCTCCAGCCCTTGTGTTTGATGCCCAGATGGCTCCATTGGTTGTCCCTGCCCGTGTGCGCAGGTCAGTGTGTGTGTATGTGCGCGTGTGTGTCGGCTGACCTTGTGCATGGAGGGGTGTCTGTGCCCGTGCGTCATGCTGTCTGTCAGCGTCCAGTGCCTGGTGCCGCTGCGCTCCGGGCTTCGGCAGCTACGTGGCCTGTGACCTCCGCCTGCACATGCAGGTGTTCTCCTCAGACCCCAGAGCAGTATTAGTGACGCAGAGGCTGGAGGTGCGAGTGGACTGCGGCCGTTTCCAGGGGTGCAGGCTGGAGCTGGAATCTGGCCTCCTGATGGGGAGCTGGGCTCCCACCCCTGGGAGCTGTGGGGCGAGTGTGAAGCGGGCCTGGGGTCCACCCGGGGCTCCGGCTGTTCCAGAAGAAGCCTCTGCCCTCTGGTGGCCTCGGGGCCTGCTGCATGTACGTTTTCCTTAAGGACAAGTTCTATGAATCCTTTAGTAAGAGAAAAGACTTTGAAACATTTTCATTCACATCCATGTTTGTTGTTACTCCTTAAAGTGAGGCCAGTTTGTACAGTTCGGCCCAGCTCAGCCCCACCCCAGGGACTCACTTCCCGTGGCTCTGAACTGAGCTCCTCGGAGGCGGCTTAACCCAGGTGGCCTCTTGGGAGGGAGCCTGGAGCCGTGGGTCAAGGGGGTGAGCCCAGAGCACGGCTTTGGAGGACAGGGTCTGTCCTGGGGCCCCTGGGCCACTCTGTTTCCTTTGCTGTGCCCACAGTTGTCTGTGGTCCTTTGGGGGCTGTTGGAACTTGGTGACTAGGGTTCCTGGTTCTGTTGTTGGGGAGAGGGTGGGGTTCAGGGACTCGAAGGAGCTGCTGGGGCCAGACTGTCACCTTTCTCGGGGGTTTGGGGGCTGCCACCCCGGGGCTGCAGGTAGATCAGGCCTCTTTCTGCCTGTCCACTCAGCCCGAATACCTAGACTGAGTGCCCAGACCCTGCTTGGCCTGGATCCCTGGACCAAAGGAGAGGCCCCCGCCTCTGCTCCCCAGCCAGCCCAGGACTATGGATCTGGGACCCTAGTATGTACATTATGTAAATATGTGCATATTTGTACATAAAACGATAGTCTGTTTTTAAATAAACAGATAATACCTGTTTTGTCTGGTTCCTGTCTTGCCCCTGAGATGTGTGAGCCCTGAACCCCGTTGTCTGTCTCAGCACCACCCTCCTGTGGCCCCAGGAGGGGAGGAGTTAGATGCTGTGGCTGGGAGGGACAGGAGAGAAAGGGCCTGCACCGGACCACCAGCCGTCTGTCCGTCTGGGAGGCCCCGTGGGCAGGCGGCGCCTCGTCTGCAGGCTGTGACCCCCGTGCTCTCTGCGGCACAGGCCGGAGGCCTACCAAGAAAACGCACCTCCAAGGAGTCCCCAGAATGTTAGAGTTGGGAGGATTTCACGATCCTGTGTGTGAAAATGGAGGCTCAGGAAGTCCTCTTGGGCCAGGCCCGGTGTCCTTCCTCCTGGGTGCGCTTGGCACAGCTCTGAGCTGCCTTGTTCCGGGGCCAGCCTTGGGTCTGCACCTCGGACCCCAGAACCCAGGCCTCCAGGAGTGTCATCACCTGCTCACCCCAGAGCTCTGACATCACCTCCCCTTGACCAATGAGCAAAGCCCAGCCACGGCGAGGATGTGAATGTCAGCTACCTCCCCCACCCAGCCCCTGTGGTTGCAAAGATGCTCTAACAGGAAGCGGGTTTGGGGCGCTGCACTGCTTCCTGCCCTCCCAGGCCTGAGCAGGCGAGAGGGGCAAGCGCCAGGTCGGCCACGAGACGCAGCTTCGTGCCACGGTCCCGAGCTTCCTCCTGCCAGCCACTTCCGGAGGGCGGCCGGAGCCCCGGAGGCAGGAGCTGCTGCCTATTGCCCAGACCACCCTCCACCCCTAGTTCGGAGCCCTGCCCCCGGGGGCTGGGCCAAGCCCAGAGGCTGGCTTGGGATTTCATGGGGGACCGGTAGGCCAAAGGTTCTGGGACAGAGGGCTGGACCAGAGGCCCGGGTCCGCCATGAAGGCGCGGCAGAAAGGAAAGAAGAAGGGCAGCTGGAAGGAGCGGGTGTTTGGGTGTGACCTTCAGGAGCACCTGCAGCACTCAGGCCAGGAGGGTAAGGAGGCCCCGGGCTGCGGGGCCGGGAGGCAGGGTTTCTCCAGCCACGCTGAGGTGCTCGCGGGGACGGTGGTGCCGCCCAGGAGGCTGAGCAAGGCAGGGAAGGTGCGTGGGAGGAAGGCAGAGCAGCTGTGTGAGGATGGGGCAGGACAGGGGGCTGAGGGGCCATGGCGGGCCCTTGGGTCTGAATGAAAGAGGACAGAACAAGGGCCTCGGAGAGCCCGAAGGCATTAGGGGCAGAGGGCCCCTGGGGCAGGAGGGGGCCGGGATGAGGTCCAGCGGTGGCCCTTGGCAGCCTGGCTGGCCCACAGGTGATGGTTCCGGGCGGGGTCAGCCCCTCCCCATTCTCTGATTCTGCTCTCTGTGCAAAGGAGAAACCAGTCCGAAGTGGAGGGCAAGGGAGGAGCTGTTGGCATGGGGAACACTGGAGAATGAAAGTGGCTTATGGCCTGGTTTGAAGATGGGGTAAAGGGCAAAAGGAGGGTGGTGCGGGGACCTCCAGGGAGCTCAGCAGCTTCCTCCCTGAGTGACCATGGAGAGGGCTTGGCAGGGAACGGAATCAGAGAGATCACCTGTTTGGGGACATCACCCCCTTCACTCCCTCTGAGCTCACACAGAGCAGCGACTCAAATGCGCTTCTGCGGCTGATTGAAATTTAGCACAGGTGTCCCGGCTGCCCAGCCCGACTTGTTTTGGGCACATCCAGCTCCTCCCAGAGAAGGGCCTGTTCTTCCCCCACCCCCACCCCACCCCAATCTGTCATTTCCTCTTTGTCCTCTGCTCTGGGTTGTGGCCCCTGCAGCACAGGGAGGGCCATGGTGGTTCCTGCTCATTTCCTGCTCAGGGTCCGCCCAGCATCCCCAGACACCTTCTTCCCCTTTTCTCCTCCCCCAGAGCCTCCATCCCCACTGGGCTCGGCTGAGGGAAAGTCCAGGCCCCAAGGCAGAGTGTGGAGCTTCTCTGCTCCTCTCAGAGCGAAGCACGGCCCAGGGAGTTCTCCGGAGAAGGAGGCTCTGGGACAGGGCACAGGACTGAGTGCAGCTGACGTCCCTCCCCCGCTCTCTGCAAACCCAGTGCCTCCTCTTCATCCTGGTGCCACCCTTCCTTGTGGCCCCGCCGCCCCTGGGGAGACCCTGACCCCATCCAGCCCAGGCCCGCTCCTGTGAGCCTCTGTCTGCATTTCCAGGAGGTGAGGGCATGTTCTCCGGAAGAACAGACATCTGGTTGCTAGGTCCTGATCTCAGTGCATCCCAGAGGGTGAGAGAAGCACCCCGACCCCCTCAGCAGAGCCTCAGCTGAGCCCACAGGAGAAGTGATCCTGGGCACCAGAGTGGCAGCGACGCCCTCTCTCCTGGCACAGACAGTGGAAGCGGAAGGGCAGGGGCTGGCGATGGCTGCTCGCTAACCAAGACCCAGCAGCAGGGAAAGTCCTGGCCGGTGGAGGCCTGTTTCTGGTTAACTGTTTTGGAAGTCTGCACCCTCATCCTAGCATCTCCTCCCGGCTCTTTGCCCCAGGCAGGTCTCTTTCTTCCCAAGCCCTACACGTCTTGAGTTCTTTCTTTTCCTGATCTTGATCTCTTTTGATGCCTTGTTCAGATTTCTGATTCTCAAGGCCCTCCTCCATGACCGCCCCATCCCTTTGACTCTGCCACCCCTACCTAGTCTGTCCTTTGACCTCTGACCCCATCTCTCTGATCTCTAGCTCTTCAGCTGCTCCATTCGTCTGGCCTCGTCCTCTCTTCCCCGACCTCCTTGACCCATTTCCTCCGTGGCTCTGACTCTCTAGGCTCCTTCTTTTTTTTAATTTATTTTTTATCCTCACCCGAGGACATCTTTCCATTTTTTGTACAGATAGAGTGGGAGGGAGAGAGAAGAGAGAGAGAGAGAGAGAGAGAGAGAGAGAGAGAGAGAGAGAGAGAGAGAAACATCGACGTGAAAGGGACACATCGAGTGGCTGCCACCTGCATGACCAAACAGGGCCGGGGACAAACTGCAATCGAGGTACATGCCCTTAGCAGGAACTGAACCCGGGTCTCTCCGGAACGCAGGCCGACGCTCTAACTGCTGAGCCAAACCAGCCAGGGCTCTAGGCTCCTTCTTTAAGGGCTTTCTCTGGAGGTTCAGACTCTCTTGGGAAGGTCCGTCTGCTTGGTTGCAGTTCCTGTGAAAAGGACCTGGGGTTTTGGCTAGTTATGAGACATGTGGTAGCCAAAAATGTGGGTGTATCATTCGGCCCCCGAGAGCAGAGCAGTTTTAACAAGGAGAACCCACCCCATCATCTCTGCATTTAGTGCTGGGAACCCAAGGTCAGGAGACCCTTGCCAACGGGCACAGGTCCCGCATGGGTGGATGGTGAACCAGGGCCTGGACTACGTCGAGGCAAGAGAGGTGAGCAGGGTGCGACAGTTGAGGACCCTCGCACTCCCAAGGCCATGTGCGTGCACAGCTGGCCCTTTGACAGCCCTCAGGGTGAGCTGCCTCCGCTCCTGCACCCTCAGTACCCATCTGGCTTCACCCAAGTCCTGGCTCTAGGGTGCAGGAGGCAAAGGGTGTGGACGCCAGGTCATATACGAAGGGTTTAAAATTGTAGTTGATGGATTTATCATATCCTTCATTCTCGGTTTCTATCTTACTTAACTCCACAAAGAACTTGGAATGGATGACTTTCAAAACCCAAAACTGTAGGAAAAGAGCACATGCCTGAAGGGACCGTGTGGAGGGAAAACAGGAGGAAAAGTGCGCTCAGTGCTCAGAAATGCGCATCAGCCTCTGCCTGGCTCTGGAGGGGCTGCTTCCTGGTGACTGAAGTGGAGAGCAGCACCCAGGTGCCAGCCTCCCAACGCCTGCCCGCAGCAGAGAAAAGCAGGTGGCTTAAGACACACAGATTTTCTTACGCTGGCCTGTGGGCGCTGCTGGCTCAGTCACCAGCTTTCTTCTGTTTTAAGTCTCCAAGAGATGCCACTGATTCTCATAACTGATTGGTAGTTAATTGAGTCATTCAAAAAACATTTACTGAGCATATGCTATGTTTCAACACTGTGCTGTGGGGGAGGATGTTACTACTCAAAGGTATAGATACAAAAGAAACTGATCATTACAAGTGGCAGTCAGTGCTATAATGCAGGCATGAAGAAAGGACTGTGGAAGCTATAACACAGAGATGACCAAAGGGTTCAGAATCGGAGGTGATGCTTGCGGTGTGTTTTGAAGAATGCATAGGAGTTCACCAGGCAGAATCAGAGGGGAGGAAATTTGCAGGCAAGGGAAGGACATGGTACCATGTCTTGTTCATGGAGTGGCAAAGGGCTGGGTCACAGGGTTTGTTGGGTAATCTGCCGGCACTACGGCTGAAATGGCAGCTCGGACCTGACTTGAGAAGGGTCTTATGTACCATGCTGAGGAGTCTATATTTTATTGCGTATCTGTAAGGTAAGCGATGGAGACTGAGGTGGAGCAGGGTGTGTATATAACAAGGGCTTTAAAGCAGTGAATGGTGGAGTTGGGTTCATCACTGGGTTTTGGGGTTTCCCAGGTATGAGACACCAGGTCAGATAGCACGAGGACTATCAAGATGGGTTACACTTGCATCTTGTCCTTCAGGCACCTCCAGTCCAGTAACAGAGGAGGGGCCGGGGTGGGGAGACTTAATGCAGCCTTTTGAGCTTTTGGGATTCATCGTGGCTCTAACTGAGTGACACTGGGCTTTGCGTCTCAGTTTTCCTATCCGTAAAATGGGGACTAGAAAATGTAATGCACAGTGCTCGGCACATAGGTGCTTCTGTCCCGAACTGACATATTTGAAGGTCTGTCAGTGTTTTGTGTACCTGCCTCTGACAGAACTAATCCCCATGCATTTGCTTACCGGAGGGCGTATTTCATAACTGTCGCCATCAGTCCTGCTCCATTTGGGTTGGAACTCAGGGTAAAGAGTGGTCTTGGAAGTGCGTTTATATAATACTTCCAACCAGATTGCAGCCCCTTTAAAACTTCCAGAGTAGCACGTAGTAATTACAGAGAGAGATTTCAGTTCCATAAAGGCAGAGCTTTCTGACGGAGTGGGAAGCCTGGAGAGACAATCGGTTCCCCTCCCTGGGTGTTTATGCTGAGACTCTAGGTCCCGTGGGCAGAGAGACTGCAGGGAAGCTGGTAGGTTGGAGCTGATGTCCTGTGAGAATATTTCTGACAAGTTGTGTTCCATGGATGTTGCCCTCAATCTCCCCAAACCCCCTTCCGTGATGCTCCCATCTGACCGCCCAGGTGTCCTGACTTCTCTGTGTCTTCCCCTTCTCGTCCCAGTGCCCCAGGTGCTCAGGAGCTGTGCAGAGTTTGTGGAGGAGTACGGAGTGGTGGATGGGATCTACCGCCTCTCGGGGGTCTCCTCCAACATCCAGAAGCTCCGGTGAGTCAGGCAGTTTGGGAGGGGCTTGGGAGCCCAGAGGCCAGGGGAATAGGGGTGAGGGGAGGTGGGCAGAAGGAAACACAGAGTGCAGGCACTGTCTAAGGGAAGAACTCCAGAGTCAGCTTAGGAGAGATTGAGACCATGTACTCCTTCCCCGAGGCTAGGGTGCACACACATACGCACGCACGTGCACACATGCGTGTGCACACAGGACACATATACTCACACACGCACACACACCCCTCCACTCCCACACACACCCATACACACCCACACAGCTTTTCAAAAATATAGATAGAATTTTTACACCATAAAATTCACCATTTAAAAATGTACATTTGGGTGGTTTTTAGTATATTTACAGGTTGTGCAGCAATCACCACTAATTCCAGAACATTCTATCACACCCAACAGCAGTCACTCCACATCCCTCTCCCCCAGCCCCTGGCAACACTAGTCTACTTTTGTCTGCACGGGTTTTCCTATCCTGACCATTTCACACAACTGTAATATGATTGTAACATATTGTAACTGTAACATGATTGTAGCACCTGCGTGTTTCTCTCACTCGGCACGTTTCCAGGGTGCATGCGGGTTGTCCGTGCACAGTTCTCCATGTTCCGTTTTCACGGCTGAACGATATTCCATGCTGTGGCTCGACCACATTCAGTTTATTCCCGAATCAGTCAGTGGCCACTTGGCTTGTTTCCACCTGTAGGCTGTTTGAGTGACCGTGCCGTCCACACCCAAGCACATGGTCTGTGCTGACACGGCCTGCAGTTCTCCGGAGCACACAGGAGGACTTGCTGGGTCAACTGCGACGCTGTGCAGAACTTTTAAAGAAACCGGCAAACGTTTTCCACAGCATTTGCGTCATTCCCACCAGGGATGTACAAGGGCTCCTATTTCTACACCTCCCTGCCCGCCCTGGTCACTCTGCCTTTCTCGTTATAGCCACCCTAGTGGGTGTGGAGTGAGATTTCATCTGTATTTGCATTTCTCTAATAGTTAATGTTTGACCATCTTTTTGTTGTTGTTGTTAACCCTTACCCAAGGACAAGGATATTTTTTCCATTGATTATATTAGAGAGAGTGGAAGGAGGGAGGGATGGAGAGAGAGAGAGACACACACACACACATCGATTGGCTGCCTCCTGTGTGACCCTCACCAGGGCCGGCTGCAGCCCAGGTATGCACCCTTGATCGGGAATCAAACCTGCGACCCTTTGATCTGCAGCCCAACACGCTAACCACTGAGTCAAACTGGCCAGGGCCTTTCATTCAGTTTTAAATTGGGTTATTTGTTTCTCTTGAATTGTAAGAATTCTTTATAGTCTGGATATTAGACAGTTATCAACTGTGATTTTCAAATACTTTCTTCCATTCTGTGGGTTCTCTTCACTTTCTCGATAGTGTCTTTTGACACACGGACGTTTATAATTTGGATGTTCAATTTATTTTCTCTTTGGATGCTTTTGGTGTCACAGCCAAGGTTTGGAAGACTGACACTCCCATCTTTGTGTGTGCCCAGGAACACGTTCAGGCTGTACTGACCCCACCCCCCCGCTGCCGCACCTGCGGCTAGGTCCCCGGCATGGATCCTGGCCCACGCGTGGTCCATCCCCCTCCGCACACCCGCCCTGAGTCGACATGCATGTCGGCCGCAGCCCTGCTGGAGCCTTGCTGCAGCTCCCACGTGTCTCCCACCCCAGCTCTCCTGACCACTCTGCACCTCCCCAGGCAGGAGTTCGAGGCAGAGCGGAAGCCAGACCTGCGGCGTGAGGTGTACCTGCAGGACATCCACTGCGTGTCCTCCCTGTGCAAGGCCTACTTCAGAGAACTGCCGGACCCCCTGCTCACCTACCGGCTCTATGACAAGTTTGCTGTGAGTTGAGAGGCTGGGGCGGCAGGGAGGCGGAGGGGTAGCTGCTCTGGTTTTGTTTATTGAGCATGAGAGCACTTGGAGACCCTGAGCAGCAGGGCCGTGCCATCCAACCCACACCGGCTATGCTGGGCGGGTGAGGTCCTCCTGGGCACTTTTGAACACCACCAGGGCTGCTGGGCAACGCGGGAGGGGGGGCATGGATGCGTTCCAGTACCAGAGTGGTACCGACAGAGGACGCTGAGGCAGAGTGACAGTGCATTGCTCAGGGTCACAAAGCTCTTAAGTGACACAGCTGAGATTCAGCTGTAGGTCTGTAGGTCCCGGATTCTGATCTGTCCCTGCCATCACTGTGCTCCTTAGATCTGGCTCAGGGGCGGTGTGGGGTAGCACAGTTGTTTCTTGGAGTTTGCCTCAGAGATCCGGGGAGGAAGCAGGTCAGGCTGGGTCACTGACTCCTGCTTCTGGAATCCTCCCCACAATCAGGAGGCCGTGGCGGTGCAACTGGAGCCCGAGCGCTTGGTCAAGATCCTAGAGGTGCTTCGAGAACTCCCTGTCCCCAACTACAGGTGTGTGGGCTTCCTCCCCACCCTCGGTCCTGGCTCCCTGCACCGCCCAGACTCCCTCCGCCTGGGCCTTGACCTTTCTCAGTTCCCAGTCCCAAGCCCTACTCCTGCCCTGTGACCCCTGTGTGACCCTGACCCCTGGTACCCCTCTCTGCAGGACCCTGGAATTCCTCATGCGCCACTTGGTACATATGGCCTCGTTCAGTGCCCAGACCAACATGCATGCCCGCAACCTGGCCATCGTGTGGGCCCCCAACCTGCTGAGGTGTGTGTGTGTGTGTGAGCAGCATGTGGGGACTGGCAGAGCCTGCCCCCAGCAGGGGGCTGCAGGAGGGGGTGGCTGTGTGGGTGCACTGTAGAGGGGACTAGGGGTCTCACGTACCCAGTGAGACACAGGAAGCTTCATGATCACACTGAGTGGGAGGGGTGAGCCCCTTCAACGACTTCTCTGAGCTCAAGTCAAGTCCCTGAGGACAGGGCCTTTGTGTCTCCTTACTGTATATCACTGAGCTCAGGGACTGGAACTGGATGGGTCCTTGTCAAGTGTTTGTTGAGCAAATGTCTTGCAGTCTATTGGAGAACTGGCCTGTTAATCACTCCTTGTGGTGGAAGGTGGTCTATGAGAAATCCAGACATGCGTTATAAACGAGTCTCCTGGTGTGCAAAGGAAGTGGAGGGCGTCCAGGAAGGCTTCCTGGAGGAAACGGCATTTGAGACTTGAATTATACATATGGTTTAAGAGGTGGAGATGGGGTCACGGTCATGCAGGGGAAGATGTAGAAGGTACTTTTGGGGAGAATTCGGATAAGGAAGTGTAGTGGGACTGGGTGAGAATAACGCCACACCCACACAGGTCTAAGGACATAGAGGCCTCAGGCTTCAACGGGACAGCAGCCTTCATGGAGGTGCGGGTGCAGTCCATCGTGGTGGAGTTCATCCTCACGCATGTGGACCGGCTCTTCGGGGGTGCTGCCCTCTATGGTGAGTGACCTTCCTGCCCAGCGTACAGCACTGTGTCTGGGGAGGCCCGCCAGTTATAGAAGGCCTCACGTGTCATCTAGTTCAGTCTCCCATTTTGCAGACGAGAAAGCGGAGTCTCATAGGGAAGCGTTGCCGACAGCCTCACGGAGAAGACCCGGAGAGGCCATGGCACAGTCAGGACTGAGCAGGCCGCTCCTTCTCAGTGCAGGGCAGAGCTCCATCTCTGATTGCCACTCTGGCTCTTGGGACTAGTGGCTGCTCCTTGTCACCCAGCCCACCAGGCCCATAAGCTGGGATCTCCTGGTCCTCTCTGTCCCTGAGGACTCACCCCATCTTGAGGAGCTAGACAAGGGCCCCCTGGGTACACCCCTAGTTGGTGAGTGGGCAGTACAATGAGGAGCTGGGTGCCTGGAGCCCTCTCTTTTCTGTTCATGGCTGGCAACTGCTCTCCTCTTCCTAGGTGGTGAGCTGGAGAGTGGATGGCGATCGCTCCCAGGGGTCCGGATATCGGGCAACACGGAGGACCTTATGCCAAGATCCCTGCCCTACCACCTGCCTAGTGTCCTACAGGCTGGCGATGGACCCCCCCAGATTCGGCCCTATCACACCATCATTGAGATCACAGAGCACAGGCAAGGCGGCCCTCCTGGGTTCCCCTCCCCTGCGCTGACCTGCAGCCCTACCTCTGACTTCTCCATTCCCCCCAGGAGGAAAGGGTCTCTGAAGGTCAGGAAATGGAGATCTATCTTCAATCTGGGTCGCTCTGGCCATGAGACCAAGCGTAAATTCCCACGGGGGGCTGAGGACAGAGGTAAGTTTGGGGCGACATAGGGGGAACTCCAGTGTGGGTGTGCCAGGCCCTGACCCTACACACACCCGTCTTGCAGAGGACAAGTCCGATAAGGGGACACTGCGGCCAGCCAAGAGCATGGACTCACTGAGTGCTGCAGCGGGGGCCAGTGACGGTGAGTGCAGGTGTGCACCGGCGTGAGTGCGTGTGTGCGCTGCAGTGCTAACAGCGGCCTGTGACCCTCTATATGTGGAACCACACCTGTGAGTGTGTCCGTAAGGGAGTAACAGTATTTGAACAAGACTGTGCACGTGCATTTGTGTGTGTGCCTGTAGCCAGCTGTACGCATGGATTTAAAAGCTACGTGATGAGCTCGTGAGCACCTATCACATAGCAGCCCTAAGGCTGGGCACCAGCTTCACGGTGAGTGTGCATCTCCTCTGTGGGTCTCCACGAGGGCACACAGGGACAGTGCTTGTGTGGTGGGGGTAGTGATGGCTGGTGACAGCTTCTGCAGGGAGGGAGGGGCCCCTGGGCATGTGTGGGTGGGTGACCTGTGACCTGCTGGCTGTGGAAGGGTTGCTGTGGTGGCCAGAGGATGCTGGCCTTGGTACCTGCCAGGCTGTCCTCTCAGGCTCGAGGAGGCAGGGAGCTTTCTGTCCTGTTCCATTCCCTGTCCCAGAGCATCCCTGAAGAGCCCTGGCAGCTGACTACTACTCCTACCTCTCCTCCACAGAGCCAGAGGGATTGCTGGCACCCAGCAGCCCCCGGCCAAGTCCACTGATGCCTGAGAGCTTGGAGAATGATTCTGTGGAGGCAGCAGAGGGTGAACCAGAGCCAGAGGCAGGGGCCCCAGGCAGCACGAACTCTGAGCCAGGAACACCACGAGCAGGGCGGTCAGCAATCCGTGCTGGGGGTGGCAACCGAGCAGAGCGCTGCGCTGGTGTCCACATCTCAGACCCATACAACGTCAACCTCCCACTACATATCACCTCTATTCTCAACGTGCCGCCAAACATCATCTCCAACGTCTCCTTGGCCAGGCTCACCCGTGGCCTGGAGTGCCCTGCCCTACAGCCCCGACCAAGCCCTGCCTCCGGCCCTGGCCCTGGTCCCGGTCCCGGTCCCCCAGGTGAGTGCCCAGGACTGGGAGTGGGGAACAGAACTTGAGGCTGAAGATCAGATGCTGGGGAGGGCAGAGGACTCAGCCCGTGGGCTTTGGGTGGTTACCTTCAGTTGTCCCCCTGGTTCAAGGTTGGGGGAAGCCAGTAATATCAACTTGAATGAAATCCGTGGAGAGGATCTCTCATATACCCAAGGACATATAAGGCACGGTTACTAAGTGCAAGGTGGGAGTATATACTAGATGACAGCAGTGAGCCATGCCGTTAACACCAAGTAATAGCTAACACCTGGCCTTGGCCGGTTTGGCTCAGCGGTTGGAGCATCGGCCTGCGGTCCAGAGAGACCCGGGTTTGGTGCCCCCTAAGGGCACGTACCTCGATTGCAGTTTGTCCCTGGCCCTGGTTGGCCGGGTGGGAGGCAGCCACTCGATGTGTCCCTTTCACATCGATGTTTCTCTCTCTCTCTGTTCCTCTCTCTCCCTCCCACTCTACCTGAACAAAAAATGGAAAAATATCCTCGGGTGAGGATAAAAAAAAATAGCTAACCCCTGTTGATGGGTTGTCACGTGCCAAGTGCTGCTGAGGACACTGCAGGTGTTGGTTTCATCTCTCATGGTCTTCGCACCATTGTCCTCCTGTCCAGCCGGAGCACAAGCAGGAGGTGGCAGAGCTGGGAGCTGAGTTCTGCTCTGCACTCTGGTCCCCGCAGTGCCACTGATGAGACGTGCTGGCAGCATAGGTGTGGGTTCAGGATGTGGCCACGCGGTCCATGTGGGGCGAGATTTGTCTGAGCTGCTCGTTCCGGACAAACTGTTGGCCCTCTCACAGTCTCCGTTTCCTCACATGTAAAATGGAGACACATGCCCTTTGTTACAGGGTCTTTTGTGGGGAAGCATAAAATGTACAGCATGGTGTTTGGCACCTGGTAGGAACCCAATAAAGTTGGAATGTTGGTCGGAAAGGATCAGTCACGTGGGGGTCTGGGTGGGAAGCACTGGGGCCCCCGCTGCAGCAATGCTGGGAAGACCCGCACTGGGAAGAGTCGGGGCTGCCTTGCCCTTGCATTCCTGAGACTACATCTCTTCCAACAGATGAGAAGTCGGAGGAAAGTCCAGCTCCAGGCTCACTGGCTGACTCAGGCCCAGCGGATGTGGCCTCTGCCCTGGAGGACTGCCTGTCCCAGGAGGTGCAGGATTCCTTCTCTTTCCTAGAGGACTCAAGCAGCTCAGAGCCCGAGTGGGTGGGGGCAGAGGATGGGGAGGTGGCCAAGGCAGGAGCAGCAGGAGCAGCCTTCTCCCCTGGGGAGGACGACCCTGGGATAGGCTACCTGGAGGAGCTCCTGGGAGTTGGGCCTCAGGTAAGGAGTTGTGCTGGGTTTGGGGGAGGTGAGGAATCTAGAGGGGAGACAGGACCACCTGGTCCTGAGTCAGTGTTGTGCCTGCAGGTGGAGGAGTTCTCAGTGGAGCCACCCCTGGATGACCTGTCTCTGGATGAGGCACAGTTTGTCCTGGCTCCCAGCTGCTGTTCCCCAGAGTCTGCTGTCCCCATGCCTGAAGCAGAGGAGGAATATGGGGAAGAAGTCTTCCTGAGCGCCTACGATGACCTAAGTCCTCTTAGCCCCAGGCTCTTGGCCGGGGAGGGTCCAGGCAGTCTGGAGGAAGAGGCAGCAGGATGTGGAGGACAGGATCCAGGACAGGCTGAGGGGGTGCAGGCATGCTGGGAAGTTGAGGAGGACAAGGTGGCTGAGCCTGGTAGCAGATGGGACATCAGGGAGGAGGCTGAGGGGAGTTTAGAGAGCAAGGCGGAGGCTGGAGAGGCAGGTGAGGAAGGTAGAGAGGCTGGGGTAAGCCAAGAGATGATGGTAGGTTTGAGAGAAGGGAATGGGGAAGAGACAGTGGCCAAAGAAGAGGAGTCTAAAGGTCAGCAGAAGGATGACAATATGGAGGAAGATAAGGGTGTGGAGAAAACAGGAGCAGAGCAGTGTGAAGACAAGAAGAAAATAAAGACTGAAAGACAGGAAGAGGCTGAGGAAGGAGAAGCCCGGGTAGAAGCTGGAAGGGACCTAGAGCGTGGTGTCCAGGAAAAGCACGCTGCTGAGGAGAGCTGGGAAGTACACATACCAGAGGCTGAGGGAGGCAGAGAGGATGAGGATAAAGTCAAACGACAGAGGGAGAACAGAGACCAAGAGGCAAGAGAATACCAAGGAGACGGTGAAGACGGAAGAGCAGAAGCAGCCGCTGGAGGAGAAGCGGGGGAAGTCAGCAAGGCAAGGGGAAGTGGGGATGGAGAAGCGGAGGGAGAGCAGAGGGGTGGAGGTGACCATTTAGCAGGGGGATTCCTCCTAGAAGGGTCATATGTAGTGTCCCTGGAGGTGGACAGTGCCAAAGGGAGCAATAACCAGTCCTCTGAGACAGAACAGGCAGCCCCACAGCCACCCCCGCCAGAGGAGATGGAGTCTGAGGGGCAGCCCAGTCTAGAGGGCTGCAATTTGTGCCCCTGTCCCCTTAGCTCAGCTGGTGGTGTGGGCATGCGCCTGGCCTCCACCTTGGTTCAGGTCCAACAGGTCCGCTCTGTGCCAGTGGTGCCCCCTAAGCCACAGTTTGCCAAGATGCCCAGTGCAATGTGTAGCAAGATCCATGTTGCACCTGCAAACCCATGTCCACGGCCTGGCCGGCTTGATGGGACTCCTGGGGAAAGGGCTTGGGGGGCCCGAGCCGCCCGCTCCTCTTGGAGGAATGGGGGCAGTCTTTCCTTTGATGCTGCTGTGGCCCTGGCCAGGGACCGTCAGAGAACTGAGGCTCAGGGAGTTCGGCGGACCCAGACCTGTACTGGGGGCGAGGACTATAGCCTCATCCGCAGAACCTCTCCCTGTAGCATGATCCCTGCCCTTTCCCCCCGGCCACTCAGCTGTCTAGAGCTCCCACCTGAAGGCACAGAAGGGTCTGAACCACGGAGTCGGTTCAGTCTGCCCCCCAGAGAACCCCAGCCCCCTGACCCCCTTATGCCTCCACAGCGCCGAACCTATGCATTTGAAACACAGGCTACCCCTGGAAAAGGTGAGGGACTATGATTAGGACCAGAGCACTGGGCAAAGGGGACAGTAAGTTGTCTCCCATCTCTGGGGTCCCTGACTAGCTGTGTCTTCTGCAGCCAGAGCAGCTGTAGTGTCCAACTCCACAGGCTCTGGCCCTCCAGCTTCTTTCTGACTGTGGGAAGCCCTGTCTTGGTTGGTTTACCTGAACTTGTTTCAGACACAAAACACTTATCCCCTAGGAGATTCCCAAGAAAGCCACCAAGAGCCTGTTCCTAGGGAGTGAGGTCATTGGCCAAGGGAACAAAGAGTAGGCAGGAAACTTAGAGATTCCTCAACGTGAAGAATGAAGGGGAACTCCGGCCAAGTGTCTGTCCTCCTCGGAGGCTGTGGACTTCTCTTCTGGAAGCCCCCAGGGTGGAGGGGGGCCAGGGCCAGGTGGGGGCCTATCACACTCAAGCACTCCTGGAGGCGCCCGTCCTCGTGCTGTTCTCGGGCCCTCATCTACCTCCTGGCCCAGGTCGAGTCACAGGCCCTGAAGCACTTTGTGACCTCGGTGTTGGTTGGAGGAACTGGCTCCCTTTCCAGCTCCTCCACCCGCGGCCTCCCACCACCTCAAGGAAGACGGGTCCCCGACACATCTCTCTTGCTTCTTGTTCCCTTCGGAGCGCCTTCCTCGTCTTTCAGGAAGGAGAATGGCGTCGCTCAGGCCGTGGGCGGCTCTGCGGACAGTAAAGCTGTGTTTTCACACGGAAACAGTGTGCAGTTGCATTGTTCTCATTCAAGGCTTGGGTGGCCGGCATCAGAGCGCCACGTCGGGCTTTCTGCGGTCCGGCGCTCGTCCCCCGTGGTGGTCATGGAGACCTGCGGCCAGAAACCGGAGCTGGGTCGGGAAATGGGGACGAGAAACGTCCGCGTCGTAACGTCCTCGCGGACCAGCAGGGGCTGCTCGCCACGGGCCTCCGTGCGGCCTCGTCCCCCTGCGACCTGAGAGGCGGCGCTGTCGCCCACGGCGGCCGAGGCCCAGACGGGTGACGCCAAGGCCGGCGGAGGCGCCGGGGCCCCGCTCGCACACGGGCCTCGGGGCTCCGGCCGAGCGGCCGCCGACGCCGACAGAGGCGTGCCCGGGCGCAGTGAGGCCGAGGCGCCGCCTCCCCCGGAAACACTGCGGGGCCGCCCGCCCGCCCTGCGCCGGGGCGCCTTGAAAGGCCTGTGCGGCGGGAAGACGGTGCACAGGCTGGTCGTAGTGCTCCCGCGTTGCCCACAGCGCCTAGGCCTTCGGCGTCCTTCTCCCGGGGTCCCGGGAAGTCGCACCCCCCGCCCTCCTCAAGATGGAGCGGCCGGAAGCGGGGCGGCTCAGGGGCGCGCCGGGCCGAGAGGCCACTTCCGCCCTTCACCAGCATGGCCGCCGGCTGGGAGCGCGCATGCGCAGCTGTCCATGGAGCTGCCCGAGTGCGAAGAGGAACGCCGTCCCGGAGAGTCGGCGGCTGGGGTCGGTGAGTGCGGGACGGGACGGGAGCCGGCGACGGGGTGGGCCGGCAAGGGAGGGCAGCGTCGCCTGTGTTTCCGCCTCTCAGGCCGGGGAAGTCCGGGAGGAAGCCTTTGTTTTGAGGGAGGGGCCAAGCCTGGCTCTTTATCTCCCGCCCGCGCGTCCCGCCTCCTGCGCCCGGCCGAGCGCGGCGCCCTGACTGTCCGCTGCGTCCTGGCCGGGCCGGGCGCCTGCTGGGGCTGCGAGCGCCGCCGCTCCCGCGAGGCTGGGCGCCGGGTCCCCTTGCGTCCCGTCGTCCTCCCTTTGTGTCCGCGCCGAGCACGGCCCTGCTGGGCCCTCCGCCGAGCGTGCGCGCGGCCGCGTCCTGCCCGGTCCCCGCGTCGCGCACCCCGCGCGCTCGGGAAATGCTTCCGGACGCCCAGCTGAGACTCGGATACCCGCGGCTGCGGTCCTCGGAGGCCGTCCCCAGCTGACAGCTGTGAGCGACAGAGACTCGGAGCTCTGCCCGCCACACCGGCTCCTCCCGCGTCCGCCTGGCACCGGGGGCACTGCCCGCGCGGCTCGGGGCGGACAGGTGGGTGGTCCGGGCCACCAGCGCCGCTTCCCCTTAGGGACCGCGACCTTCGTGCAGCGCTGCTTCCTCCCGACGGTTTCGCTTTCAGTACTTTTTTTTTTTTTTTTTGGTGAACACTTCCCTTGGATCCGGGCTTTCCAAGGGGTAGGAAAGGTTTGGGGGATCTTCAGGTTAGAGAATTTACCAAAAAGTTCTCTCTTCCGCATCGGGATTATTTTATTGCTTTGCACTATGCAGCTGTTTCTTTCTGGGGGCATCTGTCTGCTCAGTGCTTTGTTTTTTCCTGCCCCCCCGGCTGGGTGACAGGGTTCTCAGGCAGGCACCTTGTGGGTGGATTCCAACCCCATTGTCTCTTCTCCTTCAGAACCCTGGGCCTGGGGTTTTCTCCCTTCTTGCTGAGGCTCAGTTGATTTGGAGTTGTCATGGCAACATTTTAGCAACTGTGTTTGGTGAATAAGATACACGGGGCCGAAGAGGATACATTTGGGCTTGAAGAGGATACATTTGGGCTTGAAGAGGATACACTTGTGCTTTTGGGTCTTTAACAAATGACATAAATCTGGACACTGTAAAACAAGAGCCCTGTCACTCTGTAATAGGGCCCAAAGGCCAAGTTTGATATTGATGGTTTGGGAGAGGTTTCCAGTGGCAATGGGCGTCAGGTTTCCCCTTCCTAGATTTGAGAACAGAAATTTGTTGGTGTTCAGTGTGTGGGTGAGTAGCTGGAAGAGACATCTGTGTCCATGGCCCTGTGGTTTTTGAAAGTGATGTTCTAAACGTGGCACTTCCTGATCCCCATGTCATGGCAGATCATAATAGCTGTGATCGTAATGCATCCGTCTTCCAGTATGATTATCCCCTCTCCAGCAATAATGAAGTGATCATGTATAGCAATGGACGCTTTGTGGAGTTGCTTTTTCAGCCACTGTAGCCCATTTTTCAGCATCAGAATGGTGAAAACTTGTTGTCCCCTGCAGATAATTGGGCTATGTTTCTGGCTGTGTCTTCATGGAGCCTAAGTTCTAAAAAGGGGGGTGGGGGTGGGCATTCAGTTTCCTAGAGTCAACTGCAAACTACCTGATTTCCACCAGGACTTAGCTCTCAGGCCAGTGAGGCAGGAGATACGAAGACTTCCAAAGAAGGACCAGTTCCTCGGATGTGCCCCCTCAAAGAGAGATGAAGGGGTGAGTGAAGAAGAGGTAGGGTCTGGGATGGGAGATGGGAGGCCCAGGAGAATGTGCTGGCTCTGGAGCCAGGCAGACCTCGATTCAGGTCCCAGTTTCTGAATCACTTACTGGTTGTGTGATTTGGTTTCAGGTCTGTAAGATGCAAGCAGTGCTACATGCCTCATAGTGCTGTTCTCAGCATTAAATGAGGTGGTACCTGCTCAGTGCTAGTTCAGTGTGTGTATGTAGGAAGCACCCAGTGTTTTCCAATCTAACCTAGCACCTGTTGGGAATGCCAGTGAGTTTGGGCCCATATGTTACTGGGCCAGCGAGCTTTTCATGCACTTCCCTTATTCTACCCTTTGTCCCTTCGCAAACAGGCAGCAGAAAACAGCTGAAACGGAAGAGGGGACAGTGCAGATCCAGGAAGGTGAGTGGTAGAAAGAGAAGTGAGCTAGGAGCGAGAGCCCATCATGGTCTTTCCCTCCCCTGCAAGCCATTTGTGCACCGTCTCCTCTGAGTGACAGGCAGGTGACGGGAGAAGGGCAGCAACACAGACTTCTCCTTGCTCCTTGAATTCAGGTGCAGTGGCCACTGGGGAGGACCCAACCAGTGTGGCTATCGCCAGCATCCAGTCATCTGCCACCTTCCCTGACCCCAACGTCAAGTACGTCTTCCGAACTGAGAATGGGGGCCAGGTAAGGGAGGGGGCCAGGTGGTTGCAGGTGTTACCTGGGGTTGGGATGGAGGGAGGTCATTGAACCCATCATGTGGAGACTTGGCTTGAAGGTTGAAGTGAAGATGTGGGCTATTGGGGGGTGGGAGTTGGAGTGTGAGGCTTGAAGTAGAGATTGATGTGGGGTAGGGCTACGCTGAAACCTCCATATGGGGGCAGACAGGAGTGGTTGGGTCTGTGCATCTGAAGGTCTCTCGTTTTGGGGCCCTATCTAATAGAAGCTCTGTGAGGAGCCCTGAAACCCTAGCACTTACTCTCTTGTTCTCTCTTCCTTTCCTTCCCCTTTCCTCCCTGCTTCTAGGTGATGTACAGGGTGATCCAGGTGTCTGAGGGGCAGCTGGATGGCCAGACTGAGGGAACTGGTGCCATCAGTGGCTACCCTGCCACTCAGTCCATGACCCAGGTACAGTGGGATGGGTGGGGAGGGGGCTGGATCTCTAAAGAGTGAAGTGAGGCAGAGCGCTGGTGGGACGGGGTGAGGCTAGGGGTGGTGAGGCAGCTGCTGCCTCGCCCCCAAGCACTCTATACTCCTTTCCTGGATGTTCCTCCCTCCTCCTTCCCTCAAGGGTTTGAAGCTGCAGAGTAGTTCACTGGGGAGTATCTGATGGTCACTGGACTCTGTCCTCTTGGTCCCCTTTCAGGCAGTGATCCAAGGTGCGTTCACTAGTGATGATGGAGTTGACACAGAGGGATCAGCTGCTGAGACGCACTATACTTACTTCCCCGGCACTGCTGTGGGAGACGGAGCGGCAGGAACCACGTCGGGGAGCCCAGCAGCTGTTGTTGCCACCCAGGGCTCGGAGGCACTGCTGGGACAGGCCACCCCTCCTGGCACCGGTGAGATGCTGTGTGAGGGTGCTGGCTGAAGGATAGGATGGGCAGGGGACATGCTGGGGGCAGTAGGCCTTTACCTAGGACGTGCAGTGGTCACTGGTCACTGAGACCTGGGCAGGCAGTGCATGTGGGGCTGCCCTCCAGCAAGAGGAAGTTTGCCCCTTTTAGAGGAGGTGCCCAGGGCCTCGGCCTAGTCCCATGTCCTGACAGAACCTGCCCTGCACCCTCACAGGTCAGTTCTTCGTGATGATGTCACCACAAGAAGTGCTGCAAGGAGGAAGCCAGCGCTCCATCGCCCCCAGGACTCACCCTTACTCCCCGTGAGTAACCCTGTTTCTTCTCAGTTACCACGAATGCCAGATCTTAGGTAACTCCTTACCCCAAGCGCAAATCTTATTTTTTGACCTTTGTCACTTGGCTGCCCTGGGCTCTGTTGTCAGGAAGTCAGAAGCCCCCCGGACGACTCGGGATGAGAAGCGCAGGGCTCAGCATAACGAAGGTGGGTGCCATTGGGTGTGATGCTAGGAACTGCTGGGTGGGTGCCGACAGCGGTGGTGTTGGAGGGAGGAGTCGGGTAACTGTCACGGGGCCTGGGGAGCTCTCGCTGAGTCGCCTGGTCCTCACTGTTCCCGCAGTGGAGCGACGCCGCCGGGACAAGATTAACAACTGGATTGTGCAGCTGTCCAAGATCATCCCAGACTGCTCCATGGAGAGCACCAAGTCTGGCCAGGTCAGGGCAGGACCCCGGTGTTGGGCAGGTGCTGGAGTTCTGAGTCCTGTGCGTGTGCCCCTCAGTCGTCCTTTCTCCTCTCTGAGGTTCCTTAGGGAAAAGGGGGCTCAGTGTGAGCTGCTTTTGGAAAGCAAGGTAGGCCTCTTACATTGTAGTCCTCATGCTGTTGGTTTTTGCTGCAGAGTAAAGGTGGAATTCTGTCCAAAGCCTGCGATTATATCCAGGAGCTTCGGCAGAGTAATCACCGGTTGTCTGAAGAGCTGCAAGGGCTCGACCAGCTGCAGCTGGACAACGACGTGCTCCGCCAGCAGGTCAGCTTCTGGTCCAGGGAGCCCTCTGCAGCCGCAGTCGTGCGCCCCTTCCTGGCTCTTCACGTCGGTTTCTGTTGACAGGCTTCATCTTTCTCCCCTCGCCAGTGGATGTCGGAATAAGTTCAGGGACTTCCTGTTCCCCTTACTGCCTCCTTCTCCCGTCAGGTGGAAGACCTCAAAAACAAGAATCTGCTTCTCCGTGCGCAGCTGCGGCACCACGGCGTGGAGGTGGTCATCAAGAACGACAGCAACTGACTCTGGGTGTCCCGTCCTGGAACGGCAGAAAGCCCAGGAGCAGCAGGCTCACCCTGTGCCCATTCCTTCACTGCCCGCCTGGCAGGAGCCTGGGATGAGTTCAGAGGGCGTGTCTGGACAGCAGCGATGTGGAGCACAGGCGCACGGACAGCCTGCCAGCCCGTGTGCAGCCCGGGCCTCTCGCTCGGTGCCCGCGCTGTGTCCTTGCTGGATACTGGACACGCATGTGGGACTTGCCCTGTGCCTGCTCACAGCACCAGCAGAGTGTCTGTTGGCAGGGGACGCCCTGGCTGCCTCCAGACTCTGCGCTTCCATTGTTCTCCCTTCCCCTGGAGCTTAGGTGTGCACTCCGGGACGCCAGGGAGCAGGCTTTCCCGAGAAGTGGAAGGAAGGAGCGTCGGCCACTGGCCCAGGAAGAGAAGGCTGGGCAGCAGCTGAGCTCATACAGAAGTAGGGTGAACCACAGGTGGGGCCCACATGGGGCCTTTCTCCTTGTGGAGATGGTTCTCCCCCCTTTTCTTTCTTTTTTTTTTTAAAGATAAAATGTTTAAAGCCGCAGTTGCCTCCTGTTTGTCCTCTTTTTGTGGGCCCAAGGGCAGAAGGGTGGGGGCACACTGCGTTTTGACCAGTGAGGATTGGGGCAGGGTCCTGTTCCTCTGCCTTAGTACCTGGGACAGACCAGTGGTCGTGGTAATGCGAGGATTTCTAGGGCAGGCTCCAGTAAGCAGCATCCACGGACAGGTGCTGGGGGCGGTGCCTCGCTTCCGCTGCCTGTCTCTGCTCCCAGAGGGCTGAAGAGATGCTATGGCCTGTAGGTCCACTGGGCTACATCCCTGCCGCTTGCGGTCTCCGCCCACCATGGCTGCAGCTACCTGCGGGAGTCCTGGGGCCGTGTCCTGCCTTCCTCGTGGCCCCTGGAGTGTGTGGGGCCCCCAGAAAGAAGTCTGGCTCAGGAAGGGGGAGAAGGGCAGGGAGGGAGGCCTGACTGCGGTCCACATGCCACCCTCCAAAGTTAGGGACGGAGGTCTCTGTGCTGGGTGGGGGGTGCCTGGGGTGGGCCATGCAGGCCGGTCCGTCCATATCCCCTCTGCAGTACCCACCATCTCGCTCCGGGAACCCCTCTCTCCTGGCCTCGGGCCCTGGGCCCCGTGTGGACGTGAGATCTCGGGAAGAGGTGGCCGTGGAACCATCCCTGGGGCGCTCAACATGCTGGGTAGAGGATTTGGAGGGGGCACTTTCCAGTGGTGGCGGGGGCGGGGGTGTCACAGCTGAGGGGCCTCAAGTAGGTGGTGCGGGGGAGGGGCTGGTATGGGGTCCTGAATTCCCTCACCCCTAGGCTTCCTGGGGGGGCTGGTGGAGGCAGGTCCCGGCAGTAGAGTCTGCCCTTCTGATCTGGGTGACATTGGATGGGACAGGGCTGCCACCCCCACCCCAGGCCTGACCCCAGAGGTTGTGTCCCTGCCTCCTGCTAGTCCTCAGGAGGTGGCTCCTGAATTCCAGTGTGGCTGGGGTGAGTCTTGTCCTTGAGGTTGGGGGTGGTGCCGCCAGGTGTTGTTTTGGGCCCCCCTGGAGATTTTCGACCATGGGAACCCAGTCCTTCCAGGCCCAGCCTCAGAACCTGAGATGGCCAAGCTGCTGACCCCAGTCTGTCCTGACTCTTGCTCCCAGTGTCTTAGTTGGAGAGTGCCCTGCAGGTGGGCCCTGCTGCCTTCCAGCCTTCGTACTCACTGAGGCCAAAGCTGGAAGATGAGAATCTCATTGTCTTCTGTCAGATGGGCAAGTGGGGCTTGCAGGCCACACGGCTGGTCTGGGACACCGAGGGTATGGGGGAGGTAGGGTGCTGGCTGGGACATAACGGGGGTGTCTCCTGGCCTGCCCTGCCTTGCTCACCCCTTCTTGTCTCCACAGGGCTCGCAACTCCACAGGGGCCGATAGAGAAGGGTTCCAGGAAGGAGGTTAGGTAGAAGGTGGCATAGGAAGGTGCTGGCTTGTTGGGTTGGGCGGGCCTTATAGTGCTGTGCATGTAAACACATCAAATAAAGGACATTTAATGAAGGCATTGGACGAATGTCACGTGTCATTTCTATTGAAAACAGTTCTAATCTTCAGACTCCAATTCAGCCCTGGGTCCCTCTCCTTCCAGCATTTATCCCCCTCATCCCCCTTGACCCCCAACCCCAAACCCCCGCAGTTTCCTAAGACTACAGTTCTCCTTCTAGAACAATTGTTTTCAGTCCAGAATGCACATCTGTGTCACCTGGTAACTGCGGGGGAAAGCTTGGGCTGCAACCCCAGATTTGGAATCTCAGGGGTGGGGCCTGAACCCCCAAATGAGCCCCTCAAGTGATTCCACTATGCACTCAGGAGCCAAAGGTCAGCAGCCTGGCCCACTGGGCCTCCCTGTCATGACCACTCGTTTACATATTGTCGGGCTGCTTTTGTGCCAGAACAGCATAATCATTTCAACAAACTATGTCCTTCAAAACAAACTGTTTGCTCCCTAGTCCTTTCTAGAAAGTTTGCCTACCCTTGCTTTAGGTGTGCCGCAAGAGTTTTTAAAACAGGCAGTTCCTATTTAGTCAGGGGCACTGACCTCTTCTCCCTTAGATTGTCAAGTGAAAAAAAGGACCACAGCCAACAATAGCCGTCCCATGTGAAAGAATCAAAATTATACCTCTTTTTTTGGGGGGTCAGATTGGCAAAAAGTATATTTTTTAGTATGCTGCATAATTTTAGTAATTAGTTTGTGTGTGCCACGAGATGAAAAAGATTGAAAACCACTGCTCTAGACCTGCAGGTCCTGCGTACCATCCCCACAGGCACAGCACAACAGACGGTGTGAAGGCTCCTGTGCCACCAGAAGCAGGTCCCAGTTGTTTTGTGAAAATCCTCACCCTAGGATATATTTATTAAGTTTAGAGAGAGGAAGGGAGAGAGAAAAATGACGTGAGAGAGAAACATCGATCAGTTGCCTCCCATATGAACCCTGACTGGAAATTGAACTCGCAAACCAGGTATGTGCCCTGACCAGGAATCACACCCACAACCTTTCAGGTTTAGGGGATAACACTCCAACCAACTCAGCCACTCAGCCAGGGCCAGGTCCCAGTTTTTATCAACACTGTACTCTGATCCCAAACTGGATTTTAAAAAAAGATTTTTTTTTCTTTATTGATTTGAGAGAGAGAGAAAGGGAGAGGGAGAGATAGTAACATTGATGAGAGAGAACATACCAGCCAGGCTCCCACACTAGATTTAACAAAATTAAAAAATTTTTTTATTCCTCACCTGAGGATATTTTTCTACTTATTATCAGATAGAGTCGGAAGAAGAGAGAGACAGAAACAGAGAGACATCAATGTGATAGAGCCACATCGACTGGTTGCCTCCCATATGACTCAACCAGGGCCGGGGATGAACCGCAACCAAGGTACATGCCCTTGACTAGAATTGAACCTGCAGCTCATTGGTCCACAGGCCACAGGCTGATGCTCTAACCGCTGAGCCAAACTGGCCAGGGCCAAAATTTAATTTGTCATAAAAATAAAAAAGCACATCAAACAAGTGCTGGCGAGGGTGTGGAGAAAAAGGGACTCTGGTACACTGCAGGTAGAAATGCAGATGGTGCAGCCACTATGAAAAACAATATGGGCCCTGGCCGGTTTGGCTCAGTGGTTAGAACATCGTCCTGCAGTCCAGAAAGACCCAGGTTCGGTTCCTGCTAAGGGCATGTACCTCGGTTGCAGTTTGTCCCTGGCCCTGATTGGGTCGTGCGGGTGGCAGCCACTTGATGTGTCCCTTTCACGTCAACGTTTCTCTCTCTCTCTCTTCCTCCCGGTCTATCGGAACAAAAAATGAAAAAATGTCCTTGGGTGAGGATAAAAAAACCCAAAAAACAATATGGAGTTTCCTCAAAAAATTAAAAATGGAACTGCCATTTGACTCAGTGATCCCACTTCTAGGAATATACCCTAAGAAGCCTGAAACACCAATCAGAAAGAATATATGCACTCCCATGTTCATAGCAGCACTATTTACAATAGCTAAGATCTGGAAACAGCTCAAGTGTCCATTAGTAGATGAGTGGATAAGAAAGCTGTGGTACATACACACAATGGAGTACTATGCAGCCGTAAGAAAGATCTCTTATCCTTTGAGATGACATGGAGGAACCTGGAGAGTATTTTTGGAAAAATAAGCCAATCAGAGAAAGACAACTATCACATGATCTCACTTATTTGTGGAACATAATGAACAAAATAAGCTGATGAACAAAATAGACCCAGAGACATGGAAATAGGGAATAGACTGACAAATCTCAGAGGAAAGGGGGGGGGGGAGGGTGGGAAAAACTAAACCAAAGAACTTACATGCATATGTGCACAATCAATGGACACAGACAGCAATACTGTGAAGGGAGGGCAGGAGCGGGGAGGAGGGTGTCAATGAGGGAACAAGGAGAAACATCTGTAACAAAAGTAAATAAATTTTGAAACTAATAAAAAATAAATAAAAATAAAAAAGCACTGTACAATAGGTGTGTAAATTTCCTCTTGCATGGTGATTGTTTGCTGCATATCCTTTTAAATATTTTAATGGCAGAATTTTGACTTTTTTAAAAAAATATTTTTTTCTTTATTGATTTGAAAGAGAGAGGAAGGGAGAGGGAGAGAGAGAAATATCAAAGAAAGAACACTGATTCGCTGCCTCCTGCATACCCTCTACTGGGGATTTGGCCCACAAGCTGGGCATATGCCCTGACCAGAAATCGAACCAGCGACCTTTGGTGAGCGGGTCGACGCTCAACCACTGAGCACATCGGCCAGGCGAATTTTGACTTCTTAAGCTTGTTTTCTTTTTCTTTATGTCTTCGTTGATTTTATTTTTATTTTTAATTTAATTTAATTAATTAATTTTTAAATCCTCACCCAAGGATATTTTTCTTTTCTTTTCTTTTTTTTTAATCCTCACCCGAGGACATTTCTCCATTTTTTGTACAGATAGAGTGGGAGGGAGAGAGAGGAAGAGAGAGAGAGAGAGAGAAACATCGATGTGAAAGGGACACATCGAGTGGCTGCCACCCGCACGACCAACCAGGGCCGGGGACAAACTGCAACCGAGGTACATGCCCTTAGTGGGAACCGAACCCGGGCCTCTCCGGACCGCAGGCCGACGCTCTAACCGCTGAGCCAAACTGGCCAGGGCAAGGATATTTTTCCATTTATTTTCAGATAGAGTGTGAAGGGGAAAGAGAGAGAAACATCAGTGTGAGAGAGATACATCTATTGGCTGCCTCCTGCATGCCCCTCACTAGGGATTTGGCTCACAACTCGGGCATGTGCCCTGACCAGGAATCGAACAGGTGACCTCTTGGTGCATGGGTCAATGCTCAACCACTGAGCCACACTGGCCAGGGCTTAAGTTTGATTTTTATTATTATTATTATTATTATTATTATTATCCTCACCCGAGGATATTTTTCCATTTTTTGTTCAGACAGAGTGGGAGGGAGAGAGGGGGGGAGAGAGAGAAAGAGAGAGAGAAACATCGACATGAAAGGGACACATCGAGTGGCTGCCATCTGCACAACCCAACCAGGGCTGGGGACAAACTCCAAGGTATATATGTCCTTAGTGGGAACTGAACCTGGGTCTCTCTGGACCGCAGGCCGATACTCTAACCACTGAGCCAAACCAGCCAAGGCATTATTATTTTTAATTGATTGTAGATGGGAAGGGAGATGGAGAGAGAGAAACATTGATGAGAGAGAACATTGATTGGCCACTTCCTGCACGCCCCACACTGGGGATTTGGCCCAGAAGCTGGGAATGTGCCCTGATTGGGAATGGAACCGGTGACCTCTTGGTGCATGAGTTGAAGCTCAACCACTGAGCCACAGTGGCCGGGCTAAGCTTGATTTTTAAAAGGTGTTATTTATTTATTTATTTTTTTGTTAATCCTCACCCAAGGATATGTTTCCATTGACTTTTTGGAGAGTGTGGAAGGGAGGGAAGGAGGGAGAAAGAGAAAGAGAGAAACATGGATGTGAGAGATACACATCAATTGGTTGCCTCCCACACTCCCCCAACTAGGGGCAGGGATTGAACCTGCAACCCTTTGGTGTGTGAGCCAATGCTCTGACCACCAGGGCTAAAGTGTTATTCTTTTATTTGTGGAAGAGAAAGTTGGGTGAGAGATGTACCCACTTTTCTGAGTTATCAAGTCTCTGAAGAAATTTCTTCAGACATTTTCTGTATTCCTTGCTTTTCTCTCTCCTTCCTTCCTTCCTTCCTTCCTTCCTTCCTTCCTTCCTTCCTTCCTTCCTTCCTTCCTTCCTTCCTTCCTTCTGCCTTCTGGACCGTAGCCAACCCTCTTATACCTTTTATTTCACCACTTACACGGCACATGCTGTACAACCGTCTATCCAGCTGCGCTCTCCACCTCCTCCGCACAGAGCTCTCTCCTCTGGGTAATCATAGCACAGCGCTGCGTGCGCTTGCCTGAGTACTACTGTGTCTGGAGAGAAAGTTGAACCGGGAGAGTCTAGCCCAGGGTCTGGCAAATAGTGGGCATCCATTACCCTTTCCCAAATACCCACGTACCTTTGGTGATCAGACTGGTTGGGGAATTTTTCCTGTGGTCTAATCTCCCTCTTTGAGTCTGAACTATTCTAGTCTTCTTGTCTTCCTCCTCAAGTAATATAATTTGATTATAGCATTTAATTTTTAAATTGATTTGAGAGAGAGAGAGAGAGAGAGAGAGAAATGTCGATGTTTGTTCCACTTATTTATGCATTCATTGGTTGTTTCTTGTGTGGGCCCTGAACCCACAACCTTGGTGTATTGGAATGACACTGTAACCAACCGAGGTATCCGGCCAGGGCCTAGCATTTATTTATTTTTAACTGAGGCATAATTTACCTTTAATAAAGGCACAGTTCTTTTTTATCCTCATCCGAGGACATTTTTCCATTCTTGTTCAGATAGAGTGGGAGGGAGAGAGAGAGAGAAACATCAACATGAAAGGGACACATCAAGTGGCTGCCTCCCCCAGGACCCCAACCAGGGCCAGGGACGAATAGCAACCAAGGTACATGCCTTTGACCGGAATCGAACCCGTGACTTGATTCATTGGTTCTCGGGCCGATGCTCTAACCGCTGAGCCAAACTGGCCGGGGCTAGGCACAGTTCTAATGTTCAGTGTACTGAGTTTTGACCATTGTATGCTCCCTTGTAACAAATGTCCTAAACAACATACAGAAATCCCCACGATTTCTCTCGGGCCCCTTTCCAGTCAATAACACCTCCAATCCCTCTCTAGGCTATCCTTTTCCATCTTCTACCCCCATAAACTAGTGTTCTTCGCTTCCTCCCTGGCCTGCCAGCCTTTTCCAGTGTAGCTGACCGGGTTCCAGAGGACCCTGGAAGTTGCTTAGCTGGCCCAGCACATGGTGGTGCTCGCTGGCTTGATCACTGTTAAAGGAACATTCCTCTCTCACTCATTAAGTGTTTGGGTCATAATCTCAACAGGCTTTTCCAACTCCTTATCTTGTCCTTCAAAGTTCTCCCCCCTTCTTCACAGCTAGTGCATCAGGGGAGGCTGCAGAGCCAGAGCTGGCCAGTGCCTGCGCCCTCCCCTGACGGGGGCCTTTCTTTCCAAGCCTCATGGGATGCCTCCCTGTCAGCAAACTCTGTCCACCCCAGGCTTGCGCTGACGGTGTGTCTGTGTCATCAACGCTACCACCTTGCATTTCTCTCTCCCTCCAGTATGTTGTGAGGTCCTTGAAAGCAGGGGTGGCTTCATCCCCTGACCGGCAGTGCCTCAGACACGAGTTTTCAGCAGCTTCCCTACGTTCAGAATCTTCTCCTTTCTGAAAGGTCACTGCCTGAGCCAACCACATTTCCATCTTATCAGAGTTGATCGTTCACAATAGCTCCCTGTTGCCTAGTGACTCAAGCACCTGACTGAGCCTGGCCCACGGAGCAGTCTGCAGTCTGGGTCTGCATCACCCTGTCAACGTAAGACACGTTCAAACCTGTGAAGGATTTTGTGAGTGTGTTTGAGCTGAACTGTCGACAAATGTTGGGAAGCAAAACCTCAAAGGATTGCCCTGTCTGGTCTGGCTCAGCGGTTAGAGCGTCGGCCGGTGGACCTGAGAGACCTGGGTTTGGTTCCCGCTAAGGGCTCGTACTTTGGTTGCAGTTTGTCCCCGTCCCCAGTTGGGGTTGTGTGGGTGGTGGCCAGTGTCTCTCTCACGTGGATTTTTCTCTCTCCCTTCCTCTCTATCTGAAGATAAATGCAAAAATGTCCTCAGGTGAGGATTAAAAATAAATAAATAAAACCCCCAAAGGATGAGACCACGCTCCGGAGAAGGGCAGTTCCGTACCGTACTTTATACTTTCCAATCAAGATGCGCGAGTGGGTTCCGTGAAATCCATGGGTGATGGAGGCGGGAGAAAGCAGAGCAGGGAAACCTCTGGGATTGGATGGAAATTACAATGATAGACACATCCTTCTTTTACACACCTGGGTACAGGATAGTTAACAGTCGCAATTAACATGATAATAACAATGAGAGGATTTGTGGTTTCCGCCCTGGTGCATAGGCTGTGCCCTGAGGGGTCTGGAAAAAAGAAAGTTACCCCACATTCCAAAGGTCTGTTATCTTAGATCCAAAGACAACAGGCTCCATTGAGGTGAAAATGGACCTTTGTCAGGGAAGATGCCGGCCTGGGACAGGGCTGCCTGCCACAAACGGCTTTTCGTTAAAAAGGTCACATTTCAGACCATTTGTGGTTCCTTCAGGTCTCTGAGATTACAAGGCTGTCACACAGGCCTCCCCTGAGTTTGTCAGCTCAGCATGGGGCTCCTTTTCATCCACAACCCGTCTTTTAACATTTATTTTTCAGGGCTTGCTCCCAACAGGCTGGTTTCTCCAGTGGCGGAAGCAGACCCCACTCCCTCCCGATCCTGGCCTTTAGTCACCATTCCCTTCGTTTGAGAAGGTTCCAGTCTCTTAGGAAACACTCTGAATGTCACAAGAATTAGAAGAATGTATCTGCTGGCATCATCCAGAGGGATTTTAAACTGAAGAAGAAGGGAGCAAAATAGCCAGAAAAAACCGTGCCCCTGACTCCCAGGAAGGACAGGAGAAACAGGAGCTTGGAGGCTAAGACAGGCCTCCGTGGCAGCCCTTGGGCGGCACTACGCCTTCGTGGCTCTTCCCCTCATGCTGAACTTCCTTTCCTTTTTATTGGACCAACAATCAAACCAGAACTTGGGCCCTGGCCTGTGTGGCTCAGGGGTTGGAGCGGCGGCCCTGGCAACTAATCGATGTGTCTCTCTCACATCCATGTTTCTCTCTCTCTACTCCTCCATCTCTCCCCCTCCCTCCTTCCCTTCCACTCTCTGTAGAAATCAATGGACAAAATATCCTCAGGTGAGGACTAAAAAAAAGAAAGAACTCAGCATATAGGGGGAACTCAATAAACACTGAATTTGTACTGAGGTGTTTAGTAATTCCCAGGGGAAAAACGCAAAGGAAGTAAGTTGGGAATAAAACTCACAAATGGTATGTTATTAAGTATAAAGTGAAGACTATGAATCAGAGCTGTTTCAGTTCTGACTTAGCACTACTGCAAGTTACTTTATTATTATTATAATCATTTCCACTATTAGGCACAGTGAGAAAAACAATTCTGAAATGTAGGGCTCTTCTGACAGAGCACACATATTCAAGGGCGTGTCCGCAGTCGGTGACACTTATATAATTATCTGCAGGTCAGTCGGTACTATTTGGAATATTCGGAGCACACATGCCTGACGTTCTCGAGGAAACGGAATTCTGCTTTTCCCCTCCCCCCTTCGCCTCCCTTTTCCTTTTCTCCTGCCCGCGCAGCCCCTCGCAAGGGATGGCAGCCAGTGGGGTCTGCACAGGGGCGGGGGGCGGGGTGGGATAATGGGACCCTTCACTTTTCTCCTGGTCCTCTCCCCCACCTGTAAGTATGAGGTTTTCATCTGCGAAGGACACGGCCAAGGTCTCTGCCGCACCCGGTAACTCACAGCCAAACCTACAGGAGCCACCAGCGGGCGCGCAGCCAGGGACGCAGGGCTCCCCTAACCTGACGCCCCGCGGCGCAGCCAGTCAGCGAACCCGCCCTCGGGAGCGCCGCCCAATCAGCGCGCGCTCACCTGCGGCAGGTGCGCTATCGGCCTCGCTCCGCGACAGCCTCCGGGCCAACCAGAGTCGCCCCGGGCTGGGAGAAGCGCCCCCTCTCCGGCGGTGGGGGGCGGAACTGCACCTGGCGGCGGTGAGTCACCCGGCGGAGTGGCGGCCGCCTCCTCCGCTCGGAATGCGAAGGGCGGGACCCAGCCAATCGGGCGCGGAGGGCGGGCCGGGGGCTCAACCTGTGGCCCGAGCTCCGTCCTCGCGGCTGCGGGCAAGGCTGGGTCTGTCCCGGGCTCAGCCGCTGCTGTCACGTCGGGATGGGGACCGAGGTGAAAGTCGGGGCGAGGCCGTTGCTTCTCTTCACGTCGGCGATCCTGTGTAAGCCTGGAGGGTCGGGAGGGCCGGTGGGTCGGGGCAGGGGCGGGAGCGAGGCGCTCCCACGGCCCTGCCCACGGGTGGGGACGAGTTCCGAAACTCGCCGGCCTCACCCTCTGCGTCCCTGCTCCACGCCCGCTCGTCCCTCCCCCTCCTCCTCGCCGGAGCGCGGTTGGCTCCGCTCCCCAACCCCAGGCTGCTGTGCCGGGTCCCCGACACCCCGCGGAGGGAGCACGACGGGAATAATGGGAGGGGGCGGGTCCGCCCTTCCCCGTGCTCACCAGCGGGCGAGGGCCTCTCATCCCGACTTCCGGGGCGCCCCGTTCTGAAGGGACCCCAGAAACCCGATGGGGTGGGGAGGCGAGGTGAGCGGGAGCCTCCGGGCGGCGCCGGCCGCTCTGCGGACAGTGTGAGGTGCAAAGTCTGAAGAGGAGGGAAAACGGAAACCTCCATTTTATCAGAAAACAGCATTCAAAGTTCCCTTCTGGAATAGCCACCCCAGGAGCCCTTCATAGACGCTGTTGACCGAGGGGGGTCGGGGCGGAGGGGGCCGCTGCCCTGCCCGCGGGGGACGAGGGTGCGCCGCCCGGTCCACCCGATTCTGCAGCTTCCTGGACGTGCCCTGCTCCCTGCCCCCTGTTTCTTCTCTCCTCGTTTCCAGATCACGTACCGCCACAGATAGGGTGCGGGCACCGTTCTGAGCTTGGGGAAGCCGTCCAGCCCGTTCAGGGAATCGGGAAACGGTGCTTCAAGACGGCCCAGGAGATGTTGCTTGAGCTCGGCAGCCCCTCGCGGGAGGTGCCGGGTTCCAGCGACCGAGGAACTGGCCCTGTGCTTAAATCCGGCCAGACCTGGAGGCCGAGTAGCTTAGTGCTGGAGCTGCAGTAGGAGCCAGGCCACACAAGTCTGGGGTCTAGCTTGGCTTAGCATCTGATTTTAGGCTAGTAGCTCAGTGTTTTCATCTGTAAAAGGGAGTAAATGTGCCCTAATCCCTTCCGTCCAGGGTAATAGAGCATTACAGCCACTGAAGGCAGTACTGTGAAGCTGTCGTCCCCTTTGGATTTTGTAAGGATGAAGGCAGGCTGCTCCGGGTCAAGTAGGTCAAAGGAAGCAGGGAGGCACCCTGGTGGGTCCCAGCCGCAAGAGTGAAAATAAGTAGGGTCTTTTTCTTGAGTGTCTAGTCTGTCCTGTAACCCCTGGATGTCAGAAGTATACAGATGCCCATGTGTTCTTTCCCCGGGGCTGCTCCTCAAAGAGAAGGGAGACAGGGCAAGATCGATTGACAGTCTAGCAGAGGACCCCGGGGAGGGCAGCCTGACCTGCTGGGACAGATCGGAGGCTAAACACTGGTACTCAGAGGACCAGGCCCCTCTCCCGAGAGAGCCTGTGCTTAAAAGAGTCTCCAGCTGTCTCCCAGGCAAGTGTGGCATGTGAATAGGACAGCTTTTGGGGTAACCGCAGGGGGAAAAGGGGAACCTACTTAGGAACTGTGGTTTGCCCTCTACCTTTTACCAGAGTGTGCTGTCCACCCCACCACACGCCCACCCTCTAGATGCTCCAGGTTTGAGGAACTGTGTCAGTTTGTGAGACCTGGGCTTTCCTGCTGATGTTGCTTTTAGCTTTGCTGTTCAGGGTTATGCTTCACCTCAGAACTGTAGACAGTGAGTCACTACTCCTGTCTGCTCCCTCTCTCCCCAGGTGAATTTACTCCCAGGAAAGAATTGTTCCCTTGAAACTAGAAACAAGTGACTGACAAAAGCCATAGCTGGGGAGTGAGTGGTCACAGAATTCCTGTACCTTCGCGTTTCCCTCTGGCTCCAGAACACGCTCATTAATGATGTTTATCTTCCGTCTTTGTGCTCTCTCCTTGTCTGGAGCCACCTGTCTCGTTTTGGTGTGGGATATTTTTTTTTGTCCTTTTTAAAAAAGTGTATTTAGGATAGGTTGGTTCTGTGACATTAAGGAGTGGTGGTTCCCGATCATTGACGCCTCCCAACCGTGTTTGTTTCCCTCCAGTGTTTGTCACACAGATGCACGTGCATATTGATCTCTCTTTGCTTCTTCTCCCTTTCCTCACACAAAGAGGCACACTGGGCACGTTCTGTCGCTTCCTCCATCTTGCTTATTTCATTGACTGTACCCTGGAGAGCTTTTTGTATCCACGGTACAGGTGTTGTGGCCTTTAGGACTCCCTCCCAAGTCAGCTGGGGAAAGGGGCGCGTGTTCTGTGGACAAAGAAATGGTTAACACCCCTGCTCCAAGACCGATTTAAAAGCCACACACTTTATGGTGTACATTAGGAAGTAGTGGAGCTTGTTTTTCACATGTGTTAGCATTGAGGAGAGACCTTGGGGATCTATAAACTCAAACGTGCTTCCTTTTCAAAGGTTCAGGAAAGATCTGGGCCACCACTCGTCACATGTAGTTGTGGAAGAGTTTTCAGCATTTTGAGTGATTGTGGGAAGCAGTGTGAGTGGATATGTACTGGGGTTTTCCAAGTTCATCTGCCTGGGACTCCCTGATAAGCAGGGTTTCTATTCAAAGTCTGGCTTGTGTGGATTGTTTCACTAGGTGGGGGGAGGACAGGAGGAAGCAGCTGGCTGGCTGGCTGGGGCAGGCTGGTGCAACCTTCCCTTGGAATGGGGAGGTGGGTGGGGGAGGGGAGGAGCTGAGCAGGTAGAACTGGAAAGTCTTCTGAGAGCGGGGGCGGGAGCCTGGAGTGAAAGCCCTCCTGGTCTACACTGCTGTTACCACTTTCTGACACCCTCTGAGGGCAGCTGATGTCACTTGAAAGTGCCACCTGGGGTGGCTGTTCAGACTTTCATGCCTATTGTTGGGCTCACAAAGCTTTCCTGTTACCCACGCATTCCTTCTCCGTCCAACCCCAACCCCTAGAGGGGGCGGGCAGGCCAGGGTGTGGGGGGGCAGGCCAGGGTGGAAGCCCTGTTTCTGAGTTATAATTGTACAGCAAAGTCAAATTCATTTGTTAATGTGATAAACATTTGTGTTTACAAAAGCCCTGGCTGGTTTGGCTCAGCAGTTAGAGCGTCGGCCTGCAGTCCAGAGAGACCTGGGTTTGGTTCCTGGTAAGGTTGCAGTTTGTCGCCGGCCCGGCTCTCTCAGTCTCTCTCTGTCTCTCTCCGTCTCTCTCCCTCCCTCCCTCCCTCCCTCTTTCCCTCTCCCTCTATCTGAAGATGAATACAGTGTTCTGGGCACAGTGCCAGAGATTAAAGACCAAACAGTGAGTAATACCTGCTATCAGGAAGCTCTGAGGGAGCCAGAGGTACTGGTAGCAATTAACCTACGTTAAGGTAAACTGAGTCCACTGTAGCTGGATCCTCCTCCCTGTTCTGAGATTGTAGCTCCCTCTCAGTCAAAGGGTCCTGTGGGCTCATGTGTCTAGAGCGGAAATTCAGAAGAGTTTGTAGAGAAAACCAGAGGCTGGCTGACCTTTTCCTTCCTTCCTCCCTTTCTTTCTTTTGTTCTATTTTTATTTTTTTCAAAGAATTAAAACAAAATCATAGCAAGAAAGCAACCTAAGGAAAATTCTAATAATTAACAGGGTGTATAGGGAAAACAAAGATTTTTTTTTTTTTTTTAAATTTTTTCCCGCTTTATTGATTTTAGAGAGAGAGGAAGGGTGAGGAAGAGATAGAAACATAGATGAGAAAGAACATTGATTGGCCGCCTCCTGCATGCCCCACACTGGGGATTTGGCCCACAACCTGGGCATGTGCCCCGACCCAGAATGGAACTGGCAATTTCTTGGTTCATGGGTTGACACTCAACCACTGAGCCACACCGGCCAGGCTCTACAAAATATGCTTTAAACAAAATCAATTTTGTAGGATTCCACTGTGTGGCTGTAACAGAGTTTACTTAATTGTTCACCTTTGTTGGGCATCTGTGTGTGTGTGTGTGTAAATATGAATTAACTGAAACAGAGCATTATAACTGGATGTGTGAATAATGATGGGAAATATTTCAAAATGCCACCTCTGGCCACAATAGCCTGTCCACATGAGAGCGGCCACTTGGCCTGATAAAGCAGTTTACATTTTCTGTTTATGTAGCAGCTGGAAGTGTCTAGACATCTGGAGGTTAGGCATGGGATTGGGAGGACTTGGGCGCTGGACAGACCTAGCTCAGCTCCAAGTCCTGGTACAACCACGGGCAAGTACACACATCGATACCGAACTCGAGGTCGGTAACACTGCTACAGGTGTACATAAGGATGAACTGTCCTTGAGACCGAGCATTGATTCAGTCTCTCCATCAGTCTGGACACAAACCCAGCTTCAAAATCACTTCAGTGAAGACAGTGGGTGCCGAAGCCACTGGGAGTAAAGCCTGTCGGGCCTGCAGGCTCCCTGCTCCCGGGTGTTTTCCGGGTGCGCCCCAGGCGTGGGGTGCTGCCAGGTGCTGGCGTTCCTTCCTGGGCCGGACTAGGCTTTCCTCTCTCCTGGGGTCCCAGACATGTCTTCTTTGCTGTTGGGAGTTCGGCTGGCTTTCGCTCTTCGTGGTACTGGGCTTCTTCTGTCTTGGTTGTTGTTCTGAAGCGATTTCAGCTCAGCACTTTACAGTACTGCTGTAGCGCTTTACGTCGATTGATGAAGGTCACGAAACATTTGCCTTTGAATGCTTTGTACCCTTTCGCCGATGTGGCTGGCCTAGGTCAGTTAACTTCAGCCTACACCTACAGGAGCGAGCTGCTGAGACGGGCCGGAGGGGCAGTGCCTGGAGGGGCGGGCCCGGGCTTCCTCAGCAGAGGCCTCTTTCTCTCCAGGCTCACGGCCTTTCCTGTTGGGCATTTAAAAAATAAAATAAAATTATTGATTTTAGAGAGAGAGGAAGAGGGAGAAAAACATCAAACATCAAATCATCAATCATTTGCCTCCCGCACACACTCAGACTGGGAATTGAACCCGAAACCTTTTGTTGTACCTTGTTGGGAATTTAGTTTTCTTTTTCTTATTTTATTTTTTAGAGAGAGAAGAAGGGAG